GGTGGGGGCCTGGCTGCTCCTCTTCTGCCTCCCTCCTCAGCCCACCCAGACCTCCTGCCTTTGACTTCATCCAAGGCCCCTGGAAGAGAGAAGCCCTGGACGTAGAGAAATCTGTGACCTCCATCAAGTCCCTTTGCCCCGTTTCCTCTTCCACATAGAGGGGATAGGAATTCCTCCAATCTGAGTGATAGACGAATAGTGTGAGAGGTGTTGTGGCCAGGCAGCAGCCTGGACTCTTGTCACAGCCCACTTGGTGCCCCTTGGGAACCATGGCTGCTGCTTCCAGGGAAGAGGGAGAAATGCTGAGGGGAAGGGTGGACAGGCCTGGACCACACCTGCCCAGTGCCTAGAGTTGCCTGTGTGGATATGGTGTGCAGCTTCAGAGCTGACCACCGCTGGCCCTGCCTACTGGGAGCCCCAAAAGGAGGGTTTCTTGGTGGGGGATGGGTGCCTGAAAGGTATGGGCCAGGGGTTCACAATGCAGCCACCTATGGCTTCCAGCTGGGCCCAGGCTCTCCCTGGATGTCCCCTGGATGGATTTGCCAGAAGGAGCTTATCTGTAGAACAGAACAAGTGACTCCAGGGAAAGGTGAGCCCGCCCTCCTTCCTGGATGCCCCGTGCCAGGAGTGGCTACTCAGAGAGGCTTGGATTTCAGGAGGCAGGCGAGGTACCTGGAGCAGCTGGTGCTTAAAACCAAGGCCTGGAGGCCCCCACAGGCTGCAGGGAGGGTGGGGCCAGGGCTGCCCCAAGGCCTGGGCTCTGGGGTCTGCGGCCTGATGTAAGCTTTGGGTCTTCGGGGGCTGTGGCTGCCTCGAGGTCCTGTGCTGTAGCTGATCTTGCTATCTCCATGGGAGGATGGGAGGCAAGCACAGCTGGAATCAGACCCACCTGGGTCCAAATCCCCCTCTGCCCATGTCCTGGGGGCATGGCTGCCTTTCTGGGTCTCAGTGTATCCATCCCTACAATAGGACCAAACATCTGAGCAGGAGCTGACTCTTGTGTTTCTGAGACCCAGGACCTCAAGGTGAGACAAGAGAGCCCAGGGCCTTTACAATTTCCAGCAGCCTCCACTTCCCCATCTGTAAAATGGATTCCAGACCCACAGAATTATACTCAGGGGCCCTGTGGCAAGACAGGAGTCCCTGAGCCTTTCCACAGCTATTGGCAGTTATTCACTGAGCACCTACTGTGCCAGGCGGTGTTGCGGAGGGGCTGTGTCCTGCCCTCTGGGAGCTTCTATTCTACACAGGGAAAGAGAGGTTAAACAAGAGAGCAAATAGTTAAAAAAAAAAAAAAAAGTACAGAGATGGAGCAAGGGCTCTCTGTGAAGGTGGCTGAGCAGTAGTGAGTGCTGAGGAGGCAGCCACAAAAGACCTGCAGGAAGAGCCCCCAGGCACAAGGGACAGCAAGTGCAAGGAGGTGGGAAGGAGGCTGCTGGTTCTGAAGGCCCAGGGCCAGAGCCTGGTGATGGGGCTCGAAGTGTGGCAGGGCCAGGGGCTACCGGTGGTGTCTGATCCCCCTTCCCAGAAATCCAAGTAGTGTTCAGTGCACTTGCTTCCCCATGCGACAGGGCACTCAGAGGCTGGATGTATTCCCGGCTGGGCCCCCAGGAGGTGTGCTAGCAGTGCCTGGTGCAGGAGCAAATGGATGAATGAATGAGTGAATCCCTGCTGGCACCTAACTCACTGTGTGACCTCCAGCAAGTGCATTTCCCTCTCTAGGCCTCGGTTTCACTACTGCTAAGATGCCTTCTGAGTCGTAATTCTCCTCTTCGGTGGCTGGCGAGCGCCTGGTCTGCAGCAGGCCCTCTTGGAGGCTCATTTTTCTTCCCCAGGACTGCAGCCGGCATCCCCCTCTGGGCATAATGGGCATGGTGTGCCCTCCTTGCAGGAACCTCTGCCCAAGAGCCCATTCACTCCCCTGTCTCCTGGTTTTCTCTTCTTTTTCCTCTGCTCTCCTGTCTGTGAAAACCTTTCTGTTCTCGTGCCCACTGTGCTCCAACTTCAGCCCCTGAGCTGGTACCAGGAGCCCCCAGCCTGCAAGCTGGGCAGGCAGCAGCTACCAGGGTTGAGGGGGACAGAAGAGTCCTGACTCCGGTGGTGATTGGGCACCCCAGACCCTGTCCTGTCTCATTTGACATTCTTCAGGCCCCAGAGACCCCAGGTGCCACCTCCCTGCCCAGCCCACAGCGCCCCTTCTCCCCCACCCAGAGGGTGGCTTCCTGTGCCTGTGGAGAGGGGTGGCTGGCCTTGGGGAGGAGGAAGAGGAGGAAGGACAATGAACCGGCTGAGAGGAAGCGGCCGAGAGCCAGCACGTGTCCATCAAGTGGCCGGGCTTCGCTGCTCCACAGATGGGCAGCGGAGTGTGCCCAGACCCCGGGCTGTGGGGCAGGAGGAGGGCCAAGGGGGCGGGGTGGTGAGTGGCAGGAGGCCCAACACCCAGGTGTGGACACCCCACAGCAGCCTGCTCCTCAGCAGCCCCCTTTCTGGGGCGTGCAGCAGAAGGGCTCTCCGGGGACAGGCCCTAGGAACGCTGGCCCCCTAAGATGCGGCACGGGGGCTCTGCACACTGGAGGCCCTTCACTCTCCCTACCTGAGCCTCGGCTTCCACTTCTGGAAAAAATGAGAACAGCCTGTGGCTGCTGGTGTAAGAGCAAAGAAGACCGGATCTGGGCCAACTGGCATCCAGCAGGTCCCTGCAGCAGGTGACAGAGTCTGGAGGCACACCCTGCCCAAGGCCTGTGGTGACATGCCTTGTCCCTGCTTCCCAGAGGACTCCCCTCTGGCCACCCACCTAGGGTGGGTTGGAAACACCATGATTTCAGACTCTGCAGCAGTTACTAAAGTTTATCAGGATATTTTACAAGGACATCTGGATTTCTCTCATCTCTAGAAAAAGCCGGAAGCGCTGGCCATACAGGCTGACACCTGGGCAGGGACAGTTGTCGAGGCTTCCCACATCGCCAACGCCATCGGCCTCTGCTCGCCCACTGGCCACTGCAGGGTCTGCATCTGCCATGACCTTCAGGGGAGGAGGGCCCAGTCTCCATCTCCGCCCCCACTGCACCCTGCAGCCAGAGGGGTCTGTTAAGACTCCCGAGCTCGCCCGAGCCCCTCTGCTCACAGTCCCCTCCAGAGTGCTGAGCAAAGGAAGGAAGCCTCCTGAGATCACTGTGGACACCTTGTGTGTGGGTCCCTGGGCCACCCACAGCCAGGCTAGTGGGCGAGAGAGGAGAGGGCTTGGGACCAGGGGACCTGCGGTCAGGACCTCACAGCATAGTTTTGTGGCCTCCCACAGACCCCGGCCCTGCTAGAGTCACTGTGCCCGGCAGGCCACCTCCAGTGGCCCGCTCGGTTCCAGGGCTGTGGGTCTCATGGGGGCCTCCTCTCTGTGACTCAGTTTCCTTAGCTGTCAAGTGGGAATTTCCTGGGGTTGTGGTGGGATGGCAGAAATGGAACTACTGCAGGAGGCAGAGGACAAAATCCTGACCCTAAAAGGGCCTCATTCAGGCTGTAGTGGGTGCTCATAGACGTGCCAGGGAGCAGGCTCCAGTGCAGACAGCGAGCACGAGATGAATGTGTGTCACAGCTGAGCTCTGGTTAGGGAGAGGGCAGTGCCGGAGGACGGGGGTGCCCTCACAGTGTCCTCCACCCACTGTCCCTGCCCCAGCCGCGAGAGGGGCTTTACTGTGTTTCCTTGGGCAGTAGCTGGAACAGGGCCAGGTGCCTCTGGGCAGCCACAAGAGCCCTATCCCATCCCTGCCTGGTGGCACCATCCAGCATGGAAGCACACGGGGTTTCGCTTCCCTGAGCTTTGGGCTCCTCAGTGTGAAGTGGAGCTACTAGACCACCCAGTGCAGCATGAGGACCATGGGGCAGAGGCCCAGGTACATGGCAGGGGCTCTGCGTGCAGCGGCTGCAGCAGCATTCCAAGCACAGCCCAGCTAGACCTTGCATAAGCTCACCTGTGCCCCCCTCACCTGTCTCCACCTCACCTGTGCCCCCACCTCATCTGTGACTAGTCCGCCATTTCTGGCTCCCACTCCTGCCCTCTTCAGCACCACCCCTGGGAGGTGCCGTGTGGATATTAGAGGAATGGGCTTTTGAGGGACAGGGATCCCAGTCATTGATCCCTAAATCTGCCCACTCTCTGCTGGAGGCCCTCAGGGCTCTGGTGCAAAGAGCACCCCCACCCCAAGACCTTTGTGAGGTCCCCACAGCTGCGTCCTGAGTGCCTGGCACCCTGCCCTCCCCCTCTGAGCCTGGCCACCTGCCTGCTACATGGCACAGTGCTCTGGCAGGACCCCCCTGGCAGGACCACGGTGCAGAACTGCTCTCTAGATGAGGCATGTGGCCTGGGAGATTCTGTCACCCTTGTCCCCCAACTGTCTACCAGTCGGCCTGCCTTGTGGGGGGACCCTGATGAGGGGCTAGGGAGAGAGTGCTAAGGCTGTGGCCACCTGCTGGTGGCAGCATTTATTTATGCAGATAAGTACTGCACGCTGCCTGCAAAGGGGCAGCCACAAATCTCACACTGGCCACATGGTGGCTGGGGTGAGTCTCCTGGAAGAGTTTCTGAGTGTGGTTATTCAGGAACCATGAGTCCAGCCAGGACGGGGCAGGCCCATCACTCACCCCTCCCGTGGGCTGCAGGCAGGACCTCAGGAGAGGGGCAGAGAGCAGACGGGGAGCCCGGGGCAATGAGTCATGATTCAGCTTACACAGTGTAGATGGACGGGCAGAGGCCGGGGCAGACCACACTGCAGATATCTGTCGACCGGGCAGTACGTTGCTGTCCCTGAGCGGTGCCCAAGCAGCCTCCTTCTGCCTTTTGGAGCTGGTGTCACCATGCAGCCCACTTGAATGATGTTTACTTTGGCAGTTGGCCTGCGCTCCCCTGCTCTGAGCCATACTGCTGGGGCTGGGGCTGGAAGCTGGGCTCCTGCCTGAGACTTGCTGGGTGACCTTGGGCAAGTGGCTGCCTCTCTCTGGGCCTCAGTTTCCTCCCCTCTGAAGAGAGGGGATCCTCCAGGATCAAGTGCCCTGAGCTCTGGGCTGTCAGCCCACTCTCAGCAGTTCCAGGCACCCTTCATGTGACCTCCGATGCCACCTCCCAGGAGAACACAGGCCCAGCATGGCGGGGTGAAGGCAGTGGGAGGCTCAGCTCACAGAGCAGCTGTGCCAGCAGGGGCCTGAGGCTGCGGAGCCTCCGGGCTGTCCCGGGCCATGTCCCCTTGGGTGGCAGTGCTCAGGGCCTCCAGCCACTGCTGCTGCAGCTCTGCAGAGGGGGCGCTCAGGTACCAGGACTGCTGGGCCTGCTGCAACTTCCACACGTGCCCTGAGTCCGGCCTCTCCTCGGGGCCAGGCACGCTCACCGTGCAGCTGGCGAGAGGGATGGCGCAAGGCAGCCGGCTGTCCTGCAGCAAAAAGCAAAGTGTCAGAGGGGGCCCCAGCCCCCAGGCCTCCGGCTCACCCCTGTGACTCAGGCCCTCCCAGGTAGCCACCCCCAGCCCCATGCATGCAAGGCGGGTGCTCAGCCAGACGGGCCTGGTGGCCACACCTGCGCTGCCTTCTGTCAATAGGAGGCCGGGTGGCCCACTAGCTCTCTGAGGGAGGATACGGGAGGGGACACCCTGCCTACCTCACAGGATGCCTGGACCCCATGGCCTCCCTCGGACTGCCGAACATCTGGGAGGACAGGCAGGATGAAGCCCTGACAGGGCAGCAACTAGGGCTCCAAAGGGCTGGGTGAGGGTCCCTGACTGGGGGAGGGGCTGCATGGGTTCCTGAGCCGGGCCTAACAGGCTCTGCAGCTCCCAGCCCTCCCAGAATGCATGAATGAATGAAAGGGAGACTAAATGAATGCATATGGGAAGGAGAGGCCAGCCCCCCTCAAACCCCTCTGGCCCTGGGGTCTTGGCTTCAGTAGGTCCCGTCTCTGTGAGTGGGCAGAAGAGGGGAAGTAGAGGGCACTGGGAAAACTGAGGCCCAGATGACACTGCTCAGCGGGTGGGCCCCATGCAGGTGGCCCAGGCCTGCTGTGGGCACCCCAGGCCAGAGGTTCTTGGCTACAGGAGCAAAGTGGACCCCCCACCACCCAGCCTGGGGGTGGGGACACGTACCTGGCTACCTCCCTGCAGGTGCAGCACGTGGGGGTCTGACACGGGGATGGCAGCCCACACCTCACTCCAGGCTTCGCTGCTTTCCAACAGCCGTAGGGGGCCGCAGAGCAGGCTGGGCCGGCTGTCTGCAGTGGGTGGCTTCTGGGGACACAGAGGCACAGGTTAAGGGTGGTCTCACTTACAGTGGTCATGCTTTCTCCTGAGGAGGCTGGGGCAGGGCCAGGGCCACCGCTTGGCAGGAGCTGGCCATGGAGGCACAGCCGAGGCCTGGGCAGAGATGGGGACCAGCCTCACCCAGCTCCACGGGTCACTTGAAGCCAGGCCTGCAGAACACAGGTGAGTGTGGCATCAGGCAGGGTTTGTAGGCTGGACCCCCTGAGGGGAGGGAGTCCACGTGCTGGGTCAGGACAGCATCGGTGTAACAGGAAAACCCAACAGCAAGGACCCGAGGGAGGGTCATGGCCGAGGGACTGAGTGTGTTTTAGTTCACACACGTTTTAGTGCACACACAGCCTCCCTCGCGTGTGTTTCAGGGCAGCATGGAGACGAGTCTCCTGAGCCATCTGGATGTGGCTCAGACACTGCCTGCTGGAGCTGGTGCCCCTCACACTCGGGGCCCCTGCAAGGCCAGAGCCCCCCTGCACACCCTTGAGTCACGCGCCCCACAGGCCTGGGGCTCCCAGAACACACCACAGTATTTAAACTGTAGGAATGAGAGGGCGCAAGTGGGCCATGCAAACGTCTTTCTTCACCATTGAGATCGTTCTACACACGGTCCTAATATACTTACTACGTCCTTGACTTCTTAGACCAAAGACCCAGATCAGGCTCCAACCACCCCTGAGTCAGAGCAGCTGGAACCTTGAAAACATACTGTCCCCAGCCCATCCAGCCACCCTGCCAAGCCTCTGGGAGAGAAACCAACATTATAAACAGCTTCCCAGGAGACGGCAGCCTGCAGCTGGCTCTATCGAGTGGAGAGAAAGGAAAATGAACTCTTCTGGAAAACCATGTTTTCTCTTTTCCAGCTTTCTTGTGACCCTATAAAACAGGGACTGTTTTCTTGAGGAAGGAAGGCAGGGAAGGCAGCAGCCAACCTCAGGAAGAGGAGGAGAGGAGGAAAGAGCGGGAAAGGGGAGGGGGAGGAGGGCTAATGCCCTGCCTGCCTCCAGCGCCCTGCTTGTCCTCTGACAGCTCGCAGTGGGACAGGCCACGACGTGGGCAGCGTCTCCCCTTGGGTAGGTCTCAAGGTCTGGACTTGGGGGCAGCTCTAAGCCTCACCCTCCAACCAAGGTGACCAGGTGTGAGGCTGACACTTGTTCCCATCTAACACCTGGGTGCAAATGGTTCCCAAGCCACAGCCCTGGCTGGTCCTGATAAGCTCGACATGCGCGCGCGCGCGCGCACACACACACACACACACACACACACACACACACACACACTAAACTGTGGCTGCTCCAGCTGTTCCAGCAGCTCTCCTTGCTTCCCAGGGCCTGTGGACCCCACTGAGACACCCCCAATCTGTCCCGGGCCCCGGGGAGCTCTGGGAGCAGAGTTAGCTGATGCTATGGGGGTGGGGGGGGGTATGGACAAGTGTCTGATCCAGGAGGCTCTGCCGTGCCACTCCGAAGAGAGCAGGAACCCGGAGCACCCACCTCCGTGCTCTGCTTGGGCTCGGCCAAAGCCTCAGGGCTGGGGCTCTCCGGGGCCACCGGCTGTGTCAGGAAACACTCTCTGCAGACACGGCTCTGCCTGCAGTTCTCAGCCTTGAACTCGGAGCACTTCCCACAGATGACCTACAAGACAGATGGCACCTGTGACCCCACCTCCCAGGGACACAGGACTGTCCAGGAAGAGGCCAGGAGAGGCAGGAGGGGTAAGGGCTCCTCCTCCAGGAGCCCCGTTCGATGGCAGAGAGTGAGGCTGGTCCCACTGGACGTCCAGGGCCTGCTCTCCTTGCCCGGATGGTCCAGAGTCCAGGAGTCTGTGTGCACTGGAAGAGGAGTGGGTGAAGCCACCAAGCACATGAGAGAACGCCCCATCACTGGTCATCAGGAAAATGCAAACCAAAATCATCACGAAAACACTTTGCACCCCTCAGCATGGCTGTTATCAAAAAAACAAAACAAAACAAAAAAGCCCAGAAACCAAAAAACAGAAAATAACTAGTGTTGGCACAGATGTGGAGAAACTGGAATATGTGCACTGCTTGTGGGGATGTAAAACGCAATAGCTTCCATGGAGAACAGTTCTTCAAAAAATTAAATATAGCATTACCATATCATCCGGCAGTTCCACTTCCGGGTACATGCCCCGAAGAATCAAAAGCAGGATCTCAAACATACCCTCGTATATTCATGTCCATAGCAGCATTATTCACAACAGCCAAAATGTGAAGAAGCAAAGTGGGACGCAGCCCACGTGCTCCCGCAGCGGAATGGAGGAGTCTGGTCCATGTTATTGACATGGGTGGGCGGAGCACGGGAAGGAAGCCAAGACTGCTCCGGAGCTCCTCCCACCCCGGCCCCCACCCTGCTCCGGCAAACCCCTCGGCTCCCCTGCTGTGGCTCCTCAGGGCTGCATCCTATTGGTTATCCTGTCTCTGCCTCAGTCTCCCTCCCTCTGCTGGATCCTCCTAGCACACAGAGCGTCTCCTCCAGTTTCAGCGCCACCCACACTCCCCCCTCCGGCACCCCCTTCTCCCATTCGCCTCCTGTCTCACGCACCGGTGCTGTAGGACCCGGAGGGCTCTGCTCCAACCTTGTGAGAGTCTAGTTTGAACCGCACCCTGTGGTCGCCAGTTGCTGAGGGACCGCGGCATTCAAACATAGAGACCCATTTCACGGGCATTAGGAGATTCGGCAGAGGGAGAGATTATTCTCTTTAAGTAGATGGAAGGCACCCTCTTTTGAAGTCTCAGTTTTATGGGGATTTTGTTCTCGGAATTTCTCTTTCATTTATGACTTCCTTTGTGAGGAAGAAGAAACACTGTGCAAACCAAGGCGATGAGAACCAGACTAAGCCCCAGCGGCTGGCACAGAGAAGCAGTAATGTCATGGAGGGCCCTGAGCCACCTCTGCTGGGTGGAGAAGTCCAGCTTGGCCATGAGGACACTCTCTCCGGGGAAGATTAATAGAGGCTGGAGCTTTTGATCCCAAATAGTCTCAAAGTGAAGCCCATAGCTGAGCAGGGCATATATTCTTAGGATGGTTCTTAAATTAAATCAACAGATTCCACGCAAGTTTGATAGGGAAAGCAGGGTTGAGTTAAATCCCCTAATCTCAGAGAGTGCAAATTGGGCCCCAAACTGAGCATTCTTTAAGAGGTACAGATCATATTACCCATCTGCCTGTCCATCCACCTTCCGCCATCCACCCATTCTCCACCCATTTGTCCATCTGTCCATCCTCCATCCATCCACCCATTCATCTCTCCATCCTTCACTCATCTATCCATCTACCTATCCTTCATCCATCTATCCATCCATCCATACTTCCATATGCCATTCATCTATTTGCCTATCTATCCATCCATCCATTCTCCACCCATCCGTCCATACTTCCTACATCTTCACTTCCATCCATACTTCCATTCATCCATCCATCCATCTATCCACCCACCCATCCATCCATTTATCCACCATCTATACATCTACCAACACATCCATCTTCCACCCATCCAACCACCCACTCACCCATCCACCCACCCATCCATCCACCTATTCATTTATCCATCTATTTATCCATCCATCCATCCTTCATCCACCCACCCATCTACTCATCTATCCATCTACCTATCCATCCATCCATCATCCATCTACCTATCCATCCATTCATCATCCATCCCTCTATCTGTCCATCCATCCATCCACCTCCCCCTGCCCCCCACTAGTGTGAATAGGTGCAACAAGGAACATCAGGTCAGGCACAGCCTGCTGGTGCCCTTTGGAAAAACACCTCCAAGGCAGCTGTGTGCTGAGATCCACTTGCTAACATAGATTCAATTTTAATATCTTAACCTAAAAATACTTGAATCATTAGTTCTTTAAACTGAAAATGCTTCAATCATTAGTTCTTTTCTCAGGGATATGTTTATGTTCAATTATTTTTTTTTTTTCTTTTTGAGACAGAGTCTCACTCTTTTGCCCAGGCTAGAGTGAGTGCCGTGGCATCAGCCTAGCTCACAGCAACCTCAAACTCCTGGGCTCAAGCGATCCTCCTGTCTCAGCCTCCCAAGTAGCTGGGACTACAGGCATGCGCCACCATGCCCGGCTAATTTTTTCTATATATTTTTAGTTGTCCAATTAATTTCTTTCTATTTTTTAGTAGAGACGGGGTCTCGCTCTTGCTCAGGCTGGTTTCGAACTCCTGAGCTCAAACAATCCGCCCGCCTCGGCCTCCCAGAGAGCTAGGATTACAGGCGTGAGCCACCGCGCCCGGCCGATGTTCAATTATTGAGCGATGACTCAGCAGCCCATTCTCCAGAGAGGGCTTTTGGGCTGAGTGAGGAGGCATGGAGATGGTGTGCACCTCGGGCACTAGTCGGAGACAGCACGTCCCCCTTGTCACACAGGCCTACCAACCTTCACACCCCTGGAGCGCCGGGGCAAAGGCCAGCAGGAGGCGCTCCCACCACGGACGGCCACATGCTTCCCCTTCCCCTTCCCCATGCACCTTGCACAGCGTGAGGACGCTATCCTCCCCTGGTTCTCAAGGTCACCTATATAGGGGCTCTGTGGTTCCAAATCTAGCACATTTTCAATCACAAGGTGTTTGTCAAACACCAGAGCTGGCCAGAGAAAGTGATTAGCTTCTCCTTCAGATGGGACAATTTCACTCTCAAGGGAACCTGCATCTGTGAGACAGGACCTGGACGGCCCCCACTCGCCCTCTCCCTGGGACTCACCGCCCCGCACAGCTTGCAGTGGTGCCTCCTCTTGGTGATGGAGTTGAAGGTCTCGCCGCAGCTCTTACAGCTCTGCTTCTCCTTGTCACGTCTGGTCTTAGAGGACAGTTTTCTGGGCTCGAGCTACAAGGAGGCAGATAACCACCATCAGCTTCTGAGTCATGTGTGCACCCCGCCCCACTGGCTGGTGGACGGGCAGCTCTATGGATTGTTCAACCGACGTCTACTCAGGGCAAAAAGTGCCGGAGGGAATGAAATACAGAGCCAAGAGCCCCACGTCCCCTTCCCAGCCTCGCCTGTTAGAGGCTGCCTGGCGGTGCCTCACCTTGAGTAAGATTATAAACGGAGTAAGACCTTTATGTTTGGAACAACTTGGCCAATGCGTTTATCTGGTGCGTCTGAGCAAATATCGAGGGGAGCCAAAGCTGGAAGAAAACAGCACTTACTGGGGCGGGCTGCAGTGGGCACAGACACAGCCGGCAGCACTGCACACGGGGGTGTCCATGCTCTGCCCCGGGCCGAGCTCCAGAGCTCCAGCCTGCACCCGGCCACGCGCCTGCTCTGTGCGGGCTCCAGGGGGCGCCCATCCTGCCAGGCGCACCACATGGATGAACATACATGTGCACCTGGCCTGCGCTCGCAGAGAGGAAACATCCAGGAGCACATGTGAGGAAACCAAAGGAGAGCCAAGGCTGGAACCAGGGGCTTTACTCCCCTCTCTGCCTCCTGCGATGCCGCCTGAACTTCCTATGGAGGAGGGCGGTGTGGAGGGCGGGAGCAGGTGCAGCCTGGGGTCACCCCATCGAGCCTCAGTTTCCCTGGCTGATTATGAGCAGTGCAAGGTGGGGGACAGACCCCAGGCTGTTGCCCCTCATCAGCTGTGAGATGCTGGACCAGTCACTTGGCCTCTCTGAGCCTCGGTTTCCTCATCTGTAAAATGGGATGAGTGACACTCTTGGGGCCCTGAGCCTCATTACGGTGCACGAAGTCTTAACTGTTTTGGCAAGTCGCCAATTACCCTTTCGTGTTCCAGTGGCCTGCAAACCTCCGGAAGTGCCCCATCCTTTGATGAAATAACTTCCTGTGCTTTGAAACTCCCCCACCCCCAGCATTTCCTTTCAGAGGAGGAGGCCACAGCTCCCAGCAAGGGGCCTCCCGTGACACCCCTTGCTGCTGACACAGACCACTAAGAGTTTAAGAAATGCCAAAGATATTTACAAATTCCCCAGAATGTCACAGCTGGAACTGCCACTAGAAATGTTTATCTCAACCTCTCTGGTGCACAGACAGGGAACTGAGGCCTGGAGGCATTCTGTTTAAAAGAAAAACATCTAAAATTACCTTACCATTAGTAATTCTGAGTAAAATAAAATGAGGTCTGGGATTTGTTTTAAAATATTACAGGAAAAATAAAAAAAGTATGTGCGTGTGGCAGGCCGGGGGCAGAGGAAGCAAGAATGGCATAAAGTCGCATTTTTCCGAGGCTGGGAGGGAAGAGGGCTCACTGCACTGTTACCCCTACTCGCGTGAGTCCAAAACTTCCGTAATAAAAAGTTGAACAAAATAAGCTAAAAATATGTTCAACATAAACTCTGCAAGTTTAAGGAGAAAGAGATGAACTGGTTGGGGGTGGGGGAGCCAGGAAGGGGTGGCTCGGACTGGGTGTCAGCACTGGAGGCTGTGATGGGCTGAACTGTGTCCCCAAAATTCATAACCTGAAAGCCTAACCCCCAGTACATCAGAATGTGACGGTATTTGGCCTTTATAGAGGTGATTAAGTTAAAATGAGGTCCTTAGAGTGGGCCCTGATTCAATCTGACTTGTGTCCTTATAGCAAGAGGCGATGAGGACACAGACACACAGATGTGACCATGTGAGGACACAGGGAGAAGCCACTGTCTACAAGCCAAGGAGAGAGGCCTCAGGAGAAATTAGTCCTCTGACCCCTTGACCTCAGACTTCCAGCCTGCAGAACTGTGAGAAAGTAAATTTCTGTAGTTTAAGCCACCCAGTCTATGGTATTTTATGGCAGCCAGAGCAAACCGATGCCTCGGTGCAAATTCTGGCCCTGCACTTGCTAGCTGTGTGGTCTGGTATGTGGCCTCCCCTAACTGTCCCCACCTGCAGGTCCCAGCACCATGAGGCCAGCACCCTGGCCCACCTTGCACAGGAGCCTGAGAGCAGGGCTGGCTCCTCCAAAGATGACGGGAAGTTTGCTCTGCCTCGGCCCCCAGGACCTCCAGCTCAGGGGCCTCCCCCGAGGACACAGGGGTGGGACAACCCTGGGCTCCCTCTGTGGTTCATCTCATGCTCTGGACCACAGTCGGCTCCAAGCACACAAGGGGAGGAATGGGCTGACAGCAAAACCGTGTTCCCCTGGGCCTCCCTTCTTCCCTAAGTGCCACCCTCACCCGGCCCCCCAGAGCTCTCTGCCCCACTTAGGGCTTCTTCCCTTGTGACTGTCTCTCAGGAACGCTGGGGGGACCCAAACGTGCACTGAAAAGGAGAGGAGAGAGGTACCCGGGGCAGGGGAGGGACAGAAGAGGGAATGAAGCCATCCACAGGATCTGCCGTGGCCCAGTAGCCTTCACCCTCCACCCACCTTCAGGGTGTCCCCAAATCCCCGTTCTCCAGGTGAGGACTCCAAGAGTGCCAGAAGTGGGAGTGGTTCACAGCAGGGCAGCCTGACATGCACCTCGGCCCAGAACTGCCTGCTCTAGGGGACCCTGGGCAGGGGACCCCTGCCACGGCACCCAGCAGGCAGCAGTGCACGGGGGCTGAGAACGCAGGAGGCCGTGGGTGCTATAGGGAATCCCTGTGGGGCAGGGGGCAGGAAGGGGGCTGGCGGGGCAGAGGCCAACCCACAGGGGAGGCGAGGCGTGAGTGGGCCAGGGTGTGCAGCCAGGAGCTCAGTCGCTGAGGACCGGTCAGTTTGCAGTTCCGGGGGCAGGCAACGTGGCTCAGGGCTGGGGCTGGCACTGAGGGTCCCACTGGCTTCCTTCATCGGGTGAGTCTTCCCATGGTCGGCAGTCCAGGAGCTGAGCGGTGCGCTCAGGCAGGGGAGGTCCTGGCCTGACCCGCTCCACGGTGCTGAGGACTGTAGCCCACTGGGGCCACCCTTGCTGTGGCCATGCCCTTGACCACACCGGTTCCCCAACATTGAGGTCTGGCTGGACTTGTAGATGGCAGGGGACCAGGTGACTGAGGGACAAGGAGCCCACTGAGTGGCCAGGGACAGGTCTCCTGGCTGACCACACTCCCTTCTTGGATGTTATCAGGCAGGCTGACCAAGGGAAGGGGCCTCAGGTTTTCTGTGTGGCCGTCAGGACATCAGGAAGGCTGGCCCGAGCCTTTCCAGGAAGATGGAGATAACTGGCTGAGCGACTCTACCCCAAAGTGCCCAAAACATGCCAAAGTCAACCCAGAAAGTGGTCTCCACCGAGGGCCAGCAGATTTAGCTGCACATCTGGGGACAGGGGGAGCAGCTCGGTAAGGCAGAATCAGACCCCCGTCCGTGGCCCCAGTGAAACCACATCAGTTATGTCAGAGGTGGGAAATGAGCCCCGGGCCGTGGGGTTCAGGCACTGCCTGGGGTTGTTCCATCAGGAGGCAGCTGGAGAGGTGGCGGCCACTCTACTCCTTATGCTGCCAGGAGCCCCTGGGCAGGGCCTTGACCCAGGAAAGGCAGCGCCAGAGCTGCGGGGGAGGGCAGCACGAGGGAAGAGCCCTTGGCACAGCCCGTGAAAGGGAGGCCGGGGCGGGTGACTCACTGGCACCTTGGAGGGGGTCCATGTGTCACCCATGGTGGGTCTAGGGCCCTGGGAGGTCTTTCAGATTGTGACATTTTGTGCAACTGTTTACAGCAACGCGACTTTTGCAAAACAGAGAAGGCTTTGAATTCTGGGAGGCCCCTTGCAAAGCTTCCTGGTTTGGGTTTAGCTTCTCTTGGGAAAGAGGGGCTTACAGAGACTACGCGACTGAAGGCATCAGGGCTCAGGAAATAAAACCATCCCCCTGAGTGGATTTATTTTCCTCTCTAAATATGCTAAGAATAAGCGTTACGTTTGGTAAGATGTAGCAAAAATCACTCCGTTTGGTGTGAGAATTAACTCACTTTCCAGCACCTTGTATTAAAATGTACACCATGCGTACCCTGTGCAGTGCAGCAGACACACACTGAGCTGTCCCAGGTCCCCCCAAATCTCCCCTGTGCTCAGTCTCTGCTCACAGGAAGACACCACTGAGAAACACATGGCCAGACCAGGCCACATCCACTGGTGGCGGCGAGGCCCCGTGCTGGAGCTGGGTCTGTTGTTTGGTTGTTTGTTGTGGGGCCCAGCCCTGGCTTGGCACAGAGAGAAGAGCCTGGAACTGGAATGTGACCCCGAGCATCCAGCTGCCACGGGACTTGCAGAACCCAAGGTGGGCTGAGCTCTGGGTCAGGAGAAGGAAAGTGAGTGGGGCAGACTGCACGTCCCCCTGCCAGGCATGGCCATCAAGGCCCAGCGGGTCTGCCGACCACAGCCTGGCCCGGGCAGGCCCCGGACATGGACGGGAGCCCTGAGCTGCTGGGTTCCCATCAAAGGGCACCTGACTCTTCTTCAATCTCTGCCCAGGGCAAAGAGAGGCCCCAAAGGCAGTACTTGCCCCAAGCCTGGCTCCAGGGCCAAATCCGACCTGTGTCTTTCCGCACATTAAGACATTCTAAAACATAGCCTTTCAGGTTTCCTCCAGCTAGAACATTCTGATCTGGGCACCAACCCCAGTCAGCCTCTGAAGTGGGACCCTGTCCTACCTGCAGATGCCTATGCCAATGCCCTCGGGCCAGCCCCGGCCTCCTATAATCAGCCCAGGTCCTGCCCACCCCGGGGCCCCTACCCATTTCTGCTTCCCTGTGTCCCCAGGGCACTGAGGGTCCCATCTCCGGGGCCTGTGGGGTCACATCCAGGGACAGTTGCACCAGCAAAGAATGGGTGGCTCTCACCGTACCTTGATGCCTCTACGGCCAGCGAGTGACCACTGACGCCTCTGGAAACCATCTCAGGGCCCAGGGCTGAATGGCGGAGGTCACTGTGCACGGTTCGGCTGGGCTTCCCCATGTGAGCCATCCAGGTGGGAGGCAGTGCTCCATGCCAGGGCCTCATTGTGGAGATTTTATGCTGCCGGCCCTGGCCGAGGGGTGCGGGGCTGATCTGGGAGTGCTTCATACATATGCATGAGGGCTGAAGAGTCCCCCCACTGGGACCGTGTAACTGTGTGCCCACTTTGGGCAGCTCATGCTTTTGTGAGTGCAGTTGCACACTCGTGAGTACATGCTGCTTTCTCATAATGTCCCCGAAGGCTTCAGGAAAAGGGGCTGCTAGAGCTATATGATTCTGAGGTGCGGAGCCTCACACATAGGGTTTGGCAATTCAAACAGTTGCTGATGGTGATTCTTGTGGAAATGTTTTCACCAGGGACTCCAGGGGAGGCCACATGGCTTCAAAGACGTGGGCAGGGCAGGCAGCAGGCAGGGGCCAAGGGCCCGGGGCCTGGTGGAGCAAGGGATGGTCAGGCCACAGCAGGGAGGGTGGCCAGGAAGCAGGGTGAGGCCAGACAGAGCCCAGACGAGACGCAGAAAGCCGCTCAGGAGCTTAGACAGTGAGGACACCGCTGTGCTGTGCTCAGACTTCCTGATTTTCAGTTTTAACAAGATGTCCCCTCCGGGTGGTTGGGTGCACTGCAGAGCACGTGGCTCTTTCCTCCTGCCCATTTCGTGTTCATTTTGAAGTCCCCCCTCCCTCCTGCACTCTGTGGTGTCCTGAAATGCTACATCCTTTCCTGAAGCCTCCCGGCTTCATCGCGCTTCCCAATGCCTGGCCATCCCGAGGACACGGCTGGCACGACCTGGTACGGTTAGGTCACAAGGAGGGCGCGGCAGCCAGCAACCAGCTGGCTGGACAGGCCCGCCTCAGTGGACTCAACACTGGCCCACGCAGGCAGCCCAGAGGAGGGGCTCTTGTCTTGATCCTGGAGATTTAGCTCAGGACAGAGACGCCTGCGCCCTGAGACCAAGGGGCCAGCAGGAGGTGGGAAAGGTGGCCAGTCAGCCCCACCCTCCCTCCACTCCTGCCCCCGGGAGGCCCTGTCCCCATGGCGGGTCCTCTCCCTTCGTCAAGGCCAGCTCGCCTCACTTCCCTGAGCCTGTTTCCTCCGGCATAAAATGGGGTTGGCCACAGCAAAACCCCGGAATGGCTGAGATAACCCAGCAGGGTAATGTCTACAGAGAACTCTTGGGGATAGGGGTTAAAGTTCAGGCCGAGTCATCAGCTGTTCTGTGCCTCAGCCAGCAGGACGCATGGCTACGCCTATCTGGGATGCAGCGCCGGCCCGGGTCTCTGTGTGTGTGTGTGTGAGAGAGAGAGACAGAGACAGAGAGACAGAATGAGAGCGAGAAAGATTAAGAGACATAGATTGAGCACAAGCCGGGGGAGGCTTGTAGGAGAGAATGTGGGGGCTATGTCCCCAAGTGGTGGTCTGGAGACCACAGGCAGCCGACCCAGGCAGGTGCATATCATTCCTCCTGAGCCTGGCCAGCAGCAGGGAGAGGCGAGGTGCCCGCGAGAATCACTTTCCCAGCACGCGGGGCGCGACAGCTGTACCAGGGTGGTCTAGGGTTGTGCGTGTGGCTGTCAGTGTGAGTGAGCCTCAGGCTGAGATCCAGCGACACAGCTCCAGGCCCTGCTGCTCGTGACGCAGTGGCACACTCGGCATCCTGTTCTACCTCCGAGGTTACGTGGAGGGAGAAGGCCCACATCCAGTTCCCATGGCCGTCCCTGGCAGGCAGACACGTGGACACAGGCGTGGGCCACGCTGCCTTAGGGGGATCAGAACACGACGGGAGCAGTGAGAAGGCCCAGGCCTCCCTGGCCCTGGCTCGGGGTAGGGACTAAGCTGTCCTCTTTGCGGTACTGAGCCTGGTAAGGACCTGGCGCTACACTAGGACATGCTTTACCCGGGCACAAGTCATGCACATTAAGAGCACAAACGCCACGAAGAGCTCAGAGGATTCTCACACGTGCGCACTGCTGTGCACTCCTGGCCCAAGTAAGCAACATCCCCACGCCGACAGGCTCCCGTGTGCCTGCCTTGCAGAGTCCCCAGTCGCAGACACAGCTTCACATTCGCACAGCCAGGCCCGCAGGCACACGGCGGGGGGTAAGGATGACCCCTTGCCCCTTGACCCCCAGGTGGCCCTGGTCCGGTCCCCGCCTCCTGTTCACCCTGGTCTGACCTTCTGCCCCTGCTGACCGCTGGGTGTGGGTCACTCACCCCTGTCGCAGCCCCGCTGCCTTCAGCCGTCACCGCAGGCTCCCCGGAGCTGGTGCTCCCCACCTGGAAGGGACACAGGGGCCGAGTGAGAGGAGATTCCGGGGCCACACAGCCCCATGCAGCAGGGGGACGTTTTCGGAAAACTCCAGCAGCTCTGTGCACTGAGGGCAGGTTTAGGAGAAGGAATTCTCGGGTCCAGTGTTTGCTGGGACTGTGGAGAAGCTGCTGCCTTCCTGGCCTGCTCGGGAATGAGCATCTCCCCGCACGGTGGGTGGCGGGCAGGTGATGCCTCCCTGTGGCCCACCCTGATGGGGGCTCTAAATCACACCAAGTCGCCCAGTGCGGAGAGTCCCTTTGGATTCCCTCCTCATCCTTCAGGGGTCCCTGTGGAGCGTCTCTGCAGCCCTCGACTTTCTCACGCAGAGCAAGGCACTGGGTTCAGCCTCTGGGCAGAAAGGGATGGAGCCGACAGCCATGCTCAGTGTCGCCCACTCCCAGGTCACCTTCACTCAAGGCTGGTCACAGGCTGGGAATGGTGCAAAGTTTGCTTACAAAATAAGCTTGGGAAGCAGAAAAGAGCCAGCAGACTTCATGCGAATACGAAGTGGGTAACTGGCGAGCTGGGTTGCTGCTAGCAGACCCCGGGACATGGTGGGGAGGGAGGAGCCAGCCTGGGGCTGGCCACAGTGGAGAGAGCCAGGCACCTTCACCCTGAAGTCGTGCCTGGTGCCCCCACAAAGGCTGGAGCCCGGGACTGCGCCCAGGGCACCGTCTCTCCTGGGTGTCTCCCCAGGTGTGTCCCTGCCGCAGCCCCAGCCCCCCACCACCTGACCCAGGACCAGCCACTCCAGGGCCTTCCTTGCAGCAGGCAGAGATCTGCCTCCTTGTCCAATCCTCTCGCCCTGACTCCAGAGAAGCCCAGGAGTAGCTGAGGCTGGGCCCTGGGGCTACAGCCCTGATGCCGCTGCCTGGCTCTTCCATGGAGACCCTGCAGCCCTGACTCTTGCATGAAATCCCAGTCTCCACATGAAATTCCCCCTGAGCCTTTAGGGCAGCTCCACATGGGGACAGGGAATGAGCTGTCCCCACTCTCCCTCCAAGGTCCTCTGAGCTGCCACCTCCCAGGGTGCCAGGGTACGGGGGCATTTGGGGAAAAAACACAACTACAAAAAGGTATCTGCAGTTGCTGAACATGCTGTGCACATGGTATGTAGGAAGGGTGTCATGGCCCTGTGACGCTAGCTCCACCACCTTTGGCCTGGGCATGTCACCAAGCTTCTCTGAGACTCAGCTTCCACAAGGATAAGACAATGACCTTCAGTGCATAGGGCTGCAGTGCAGAGGGCACAAGATGACAAAACTGCTCTCCAGGGAACACTTCCTCCACACCTGCATCCTCCTTCCCCACACCTGGGCGCTGACCACTGGCCTGAGGGCCCAGCCGGCCGCAGTGGGTGCTCAGTAAAGGGGGAACGGATGAGTGGGCATCACCAGCTGCCAGCCACCCTGGTCCTGGGTCCCGGCATGAGGAAAAGCACCAGGGGGACGAGCTTCCCACCCAGACACCCGCCCCTTCTGCTTCCTGGCACGCAGCCACATGCCCTCAAGGTCCCTCCACGGCCCAGGCTGCTGACTCACGGGCATGTCTGGAGGAGGGCTGGGGTCCTCGTCCTGGCTGAAGGTGTTGCCGAAGGCCCTGAAGGTCTGGCTGTTCTGCTTGTGCTTCTCAATGGTGGCCTGGATGATCTGAACACAGCAGCAAGGCAGCAGGGCCATCAGGGAGTGTGGGAGGACGCCGCCCCGCGGGAGGGTCCTGGCATTCTCAGAACAGCTCCCCGGACACCAGCCATCTCACTTCCCCCAAACCAGCACCTCGGGAGCCTCCCAGGAGAGGACACTGAGGCTGCAGCTCCTTCGGGCCCATTTCTGTTTATTTATTTGGGGCGGGGGGGGGGCGGTCAAACAAGCTAATGGTCTGAAAGGCTTGTGGCATCTGAAGGTCCTTGTGAAGGCTCCGCTCAGTTGCTGCATCCCTCAGGCAGGACGTGAGGGACCAGCGGTGCTGGGGGCCTCGGGGCTGCCCCTCTCTCTGCTCCAACATGAATGACTATACTGCTCAATAACTTGGTCATTTGGTTACTTTAAAACTTTAGGAACTTCACCTGAATCCATGCTTTCTTCTCTTCTTCCGTCCTATAAAACCAGAATAGTATTTTATTAATCTAGTCTTGGATGCCGACCATAAACCACCAGCCGGCTCTCAGCCCTGCAGCGCGCACCCAAGCCGCTCGCTGTCTTATAAATGCAGCTCAAGGCAAAGATCGGCCCCAAGGGCTCCAAAACACCGGCCAGGCGGGGCCCGGTGGGGCCAGTGAGCCACGTGAAGCCCTCTGTCACAGATGTGCATCAACGTCTCCCTGGGCCATAACAGGTCATTACAAAGATCCCATCATCTGTGGGATGTGGGAGATGGGACCCTCCACACACGGCCAGTCACGGCATCAGGCTGGCATCACCTTAAAGGGTGATGTGACAACAGCCACCAAAATTTAAAATGGATGTATACCCTTTGACCAGCAAGTCTACATCAGGAATCTCTCTGATGGCTATAAGGACACGTATGCACGAAAACCTAAGTACAAGGACACCATTCGCAGCACTGCTTGCAATGGCAGGTTCGCCGGGAGCCCAGGCCCCCATCAGTGGGAGCTGGTTGATGATCACAGTGGAGAATGATGCTGCTTTAGGAAGTGCACTGATGTGGGATGATTCTTGATAAGTTAAGAGAAAAAAGGGGAGATATAGAACCAGCTATGCAGTAAACCCCATCTGTGATTCAAAAAGTAGATATATATGTGTGTGTGCATAGAACATCCTGGAAGGGTACTTAAGGGATGGTTAGGAATATCTGCAGGCCCGGGGACAGGAGGTGGGCAGAGGCTTAACTTTCACTGACTTCCCCTTGGTATTGTTACATTTTAAACCATGAATAAATGAATACAAACATATTACAAGGTTATCCAGTTTAGGGGGAAAAAGCCATCTGCTAAAGTCTCAGGTCAAAGCCATGCACACGGCTGTGGACACTGGAGCAGCCCGAGCCCTACCGAGTCTGCAGCTCCAGCGACCTTTTTCTTCCTGTTAGGATGAATGTATGTGCTGTGTTCGGCTTGCCGATATCCTGCACCTGAAGGGACAAGGACAAAGAACAAAACATGAACAAAACCAAGCCGGTCATGGCAGTGACTCCAGCCTCACGTTCTCTGACTTGGAGGTGTTTCCCTGAGGAGGCGGCAGAGGTGACCCAGTAGCCCCTCAGGTCTGCAGGGAGGGGGCCACCGAGGCTCAGGGTCACGGTGGCTGCAGGCCGGCTGCTGCACAGAGCTGGGGTCTGCTGACCAAACCCACCCCAGCCAGCCCTGGTGGAGCCCGTCTTTCTCCACGGGGCACCACCTCCCAGCAGCAGCTGTCTCCCCTTGGGAAGGATGAGGATCTCCTAAGAAGAATGAGGAGGGCCTCAGCTACCCCGAAGATGTCTGAGTCCCCTGAATAGGTGTGCCCTGAGTTTAGAAATGTAAATAGGACACTGTGTGCCCAGAACTGATGAAACAGTCATTTATCCATAGAACTGCAGACTCGGATTCCAGCCCCTTCCATCAGGACATGACCACAGAGCACAGCGGCAGGCGTGGTGGCTCCCGGTGGTCCTTGAGCCAAGCCCCCATCCCAGCCGCCGACTGGCCAGCTGGTGCCCTTAGGGACGTACAGACCCTGGACCCTGCCCAGAACCTCTGGACATTCCCAGCCCACAGTTGAGAACTTCTGCATTAATATACTTAATTAATTAAAATACAACTGATTTCTGTGGAGAAACACTAGAAAAATGGTTTCTCCTAACTATATCAAAAGGTGTTTTTCACTAGCTGGTCATTGCTTTTGATAGTATTTCTCAATCTGGATTCAGAAGATTTCAAGGTAAGACGGGTTTTTGGTATTATCTAAGCAAAACTTTACTTTTTGAAATGATTACATACTTTGATTTAGCAAATATTTTTGGGTCACCATTAATTCAGAGCCCTATCCACAGGGGATGGGGACCCGTTCCAGCCCAGTCCCCACCATGAGACAGAGAACAGGCTTGAGGGACAGGGGGCAGCAAAGACAAAGGCCGTTCTAGACCACCCTGCACAGGCGTCTCTGACCCTCCTCCTGGCTCCGAGATGGTGCAAGACAGGAGAGAGCTCGGGACCCAGGGACCAGGCAAGGCCAGAGACCCTTCCCTACCCCAGATTTGTCCTGCAACCTTGAGCTTCATTTCTGGGTCTGTAAATAGGGCCTTGAGTCCTGGCCCACAGGTGACAGGGGTCTGCCCAGGTCCTGGCACTGTCCATGGCATCTCCTGTGGCCCTAGAGGCTGTGCACTGTTTCCTAACAACTGCCTGTCTCAGCCCCATCCTTCCAGCACGAGGTGGCAGTGATCTGGCGGGTGGGCCAAGCACAGAGAAGGGGGAACCCTGCCCACCCAGCCCGGGACGGATGTTCAGACAACGCCTTAGTCATGGATAGAGCCTGTGGCTTGGATTAGTGGGCAGGGGAGACAGGCTGCACAGCGGCGAGCACCGAGGCGTCCAGAGCCCAGGTGTCCTCAGCCCTGCAGGTTTGGGAGGGAGGGGCTCACCCACCTGGAGGCCCGAGATGTCCATCTTCTCCCGGACACTGAACTTCTGGCCCATGAGCCGCAGTTTGGGCACACAGTAAAGGACCATGCTGTTGAACTGCAAGAGGGACGGGCACAGGTGAGGGGCAGGGGCTGCTCAGTGGGCGACCCAGAGGCCCCAGTGAGCTTCTCATATGGGACATTTTTGTTTTTTTTTTGGTGGGGGATAGTGTCTCACTCTGTTGCCTGGGCTAGAGTGCAGTAGTTCAGTTATAGCTCACGGCAAACTCACACTCTTGGCTCAGCCTGCCTCAGCCTTCCAAGTAGCTGTGACTACAGGCACATGCCACCCTTTCCAGCTAATTTTTTAAAATTACTTTTTATATAGACAGGATCTCACTGTGTTGCTCAGGCTGATCTTGAACTCCTATCCTCAAGGGATCCTCCTTCCTCAGGCTCCCAAAGTGCTGGGATTACAGGTGTGAGCCACTGTGCCTGGCTGCATGTGGGACCTTTTTAAGTTTCCCTTCAATGTTATAAAGTAAATGTGTGCATTATTTTAACTATGGTTACATCTTTGGGCAAGGAGACTATAGATACTAGCTTTATTTTTGTCCAAATTTCTCTTTATATTTTAAAACAAGACTTTAAATTTTTAAGTCTTTTTAAATTGTGTAATAAAAACCAAAACTTTTGAATGAGCAATGAACATGGAAGAATCTCTCAGATGCACAAGTCAAGCAAAAGAGGCCAGACTCATCTCATGGCATTTATGTGGCACTCTGGAAAAGGCATAATTATAGAAACAGAGAACAGATCACTGGTCGCTGGGGCAGAGGCAGCGGGGGAGGGGGGGGAGCGCTTAACCACAAAGGGGCAGGACAAGGGAATTTGGCAGAGGGTGATCGAATTGTTCCATAACTTCATCGTGGTTACAACGACTGCATTTGTCAAAACTCAGAAATCTCCAGCAAAAGTGAGTTTTACTCAATGTAAATTTTAAAAACTTTATAAAAACCTTTCGAAGACATAATTGTTTATATAAGAAGACCTAGAGGAAAATTGAAATGGGAAGAAGAATCACGTCTATTTCTACTATCTCAGGGCAGCCAGGGTGGCTCTCTCTTTATACTTCCTTCCTGTCTTTTCCCCCACTCCAGGCGGGGTTTGGTTCTGGGAGAGTTGAAATCATGACGCCCTGCTGTGGTTCTTTGTGCTCCCCTGGCTGCTACAAGCTGGAGTCTGCTCAACTCCAGCAGAGGTAGATCAGGGAGAATGAGGATGTTGGCTGAGAGGGATAAAAACAGGAGACGTTTGCAGCACATGGGGCAGAGCCCTGGCAAAGGCTTGGTGCCTGGATGTGGAAGAATGAGGCTCCACGTGGCTGGGGGAACGGGGGGTCACCGATGGTGCCAGCAGTCCCAGTAAGAGAGGCCACAGAAGAGCCATGTCCTTGGGCAACCAGAGCCCTGCCAGCACTAGCCGGGGCCATGGGGAGGAGGCAAGGGAGGCTCTGTGGCTGGACTGGCAGGGCTGGGCTCACCAGGAAGAGGTGGCGGTCCTGGGTGGTGCCGTTCTTGGCTGACAGCTTCTGGATGTGGCCCTCCTTGATCAGCTCATTGGCCGGGTTGACAATGTCCTCCTCCCCACCCAGTTGCTCGTACACCTCCAAGAGCTTGTGCATTTTCTCCTGCAAGAGACACGAGGCTCAGGTAGATGCAAGGCATGTGGGGGCTGCTGGGGACTCAGAGGCACTGAGCCCTGTCCTGCCACGTGACCCGGGATCCAGATAGGACAGTGAGCCTCCCGACAACAGGTGGGGATGGAAAACATGGGGTGATATTCCGGTTGGGTATTGAAGGATGAATAGAAGTTCACCATGCAGGGAATAACAACAACAATAATAAATAACGACAGCAGCTAACTTCATTGCTGAGCCAGGTGCTGGTCTACACATGATGCATGTTTTAACTCATTTAATTCTGACACCGACCCTATGAGGTGGGTGCCATTAATATCTCCACTTTACAGACAAGGAAACTGAGGCATGGAGAAGTTGTGTGGCCATGACCCAGACTCGGTCAATCTGCACGTTACCTTCCCCTGGCCGTGGTGATTGGTGGGTGGTCACATGGCTGACCAGGAGTCTGAGGTGCAGAGGGACAGGGTCACAGCTTATGGCCGCAGCTTTGAGCTGGAAGCCAACACACAGAAGGCAGAGCCAAGCCCGCAGGAACCTCAACCACACAGCACTATCTGAGTCTGGACCTGCCGTGCCTCAGCAGCCCCTGACCTTGGACGTGGGTGATCTCAGCCTACACACCCTCAGCAGGCTGCTTTGCTGGCCGTTCTGCCTCTGGCAAGACGCAGGTAGATGCAAGTGGGCCACAGGGCACAGCACAGAGTGTAGGGGCACGAGAGCAGCCAGCAGTGGAGAGCTTAGAGGGGCAGACTGGGACAGGGCCGAGGGCCTTGTGGGAATCGGGGAGGTGGGTAGGTCCCTGGTATGGATACGGGGGAGCTGGGCGTGCACCTGCCTTCTACTAGGGGCTGGGTGTACCAGTGGAGTTTGCGTGTGCCCGGCATGCACCTAGGGGGCTGGGTGTGCACCTGTCATGTGCTGGGGGGCTGGGTGTGCACAGAGCAGCCCATGAAAGCGACGATTACAGCTTCATTGAATGAATGAATGAATGAATGACACCAACTCTGAGAGCTGATGCTTACTGAGCCAGGTCCTGCCTTGAGCACTTTACGTAGAGATATTCTTTTAATTCCCACAAGAGCCCAGTGAGACAGGTCCTGTCGGTGCCTCCGTTTCACGGAGGAGGAAACTAAGGCACAGAGTGCTAAATAACTCACCCAGGATCACAGGGCTAGCAAGGGGCAGGCCACGCAGATCAAGACGGCCCCCCGGCCCCCTGAGGATGGGGGTGTGTGTGTATGTGTGTGTGTGTAAGTGAGTGTGCTCGCATGCGAGTGAAGGTGCTCACTCAGGGGGCTCCCTGGGGCACAGGGGGTGGAGGTGCTCGTGGGTGGGGCCTACCCGCCCTGGCTGTCCCTGCACCACACTGCTGGTCCCCTCCCCATGCACTCACCACCTTCCGAATGGCTGCATTGGAGTGGTTGGCGGCAGTGGAGATGAGCTCCAGCGACCCTGCAGGGGCAAGATGCAGGGTTAGCCTGGGGGCCACGGGGGCTCCACACTTTCTCCCGAGAAGCTGACTCTGGAGCTCTGGGGCAGCTGTTGCCAGGGAGAGGTTCTGTCCCTGCTCTTGGCCCTGCCCACGGGTGCCTGGGCTGTTCCAGAGGCCTGGCCCTGGGGACCAGGGGTGTGACCCGTGGACCTGCAGACAGGCCCCTTTGCTGGGGCCAACAGCAGGAGGGCCTCCCACTCTCCTGCACAGACCCCTGCCCTGTGCTGCCCGCCGGCCACGCCGGTCACTGCCCTTGGCCCAGGGGCCCCGCCAGCCTCATGAGGCCCACTCCTGGGTCTAAGCTCTGGAGAGGGCCCGCATCCAGCAGCACCTCACCCAGACCAATATCCGCCCTCACACTGCAAGTAGGAGCGATTTTTCTCCGCCCTCGAAGACACTAAGTCACTTCCTGAGCTGTTCAGGGGGCCCGCTCTCTCTGTCCCCTCCTCTCTCTGTGCATCTCTCCGCGTCTCTGTCTCTCCTTTTTCTCTTTCTGTGTCTCCCTCTTTCTCTCTGTCTCTCTCTCTCCCCCATCTCTCTGTGTCTCTGTCTCTCTTCCCCCCCACTCTCTCTCTGTCTCTATCTCTCTGGATGTCTCTCTCCCTCCACCCCCTCTGTCTCTCTTTGTCTCCCCCTCCCCCTTTCGCCGCCTCCAGGGTTCTCGGCAGATCCCCCTGCCTCCCACAGGAGCCCTCAGCCTTGCAGCCTCCCAACTCACGCTCTGCATCCTTCCGGTCTGGGGCATCCCCCGGGAGCCTCTTCAGATAGTCCTTCAGCAGCAGCTCGTACCGGGGGACCCTCTGCACAGGCTCCAGCATGTGGTGCTGCAGCGTCAGGTTCCCGCACACCTCCTCCTTCTGTGGGGGACACAGGGCAGCGTGTGGACACCAGCCCCAGGAGGCCGAGATGGCTGGCACAGACCACACTTGACAGCTGGGAGAAGCGAGGCTCAGCAACGCTGACTGGCGGAGCGAGGATGGCCCCAGGCGGCCGGCTCTGGATCCAGAGCCTGCTCTTCTATCACGCCCTCACTGGAGAGAGTGAGCGCCAGGCCAGACCGCCTCCCCCCGGCCCCCGAATGGTCTCTCCCCACTCACATCCACGTGGGCCCGAAGCGCCTTCCACCCTCTGCCTAGAAACCAAGCAAAGCTTTGCCCAGCTCTCTTCGCCGTGAATCGGGTCGGTGTCTCTCTCACGCCAGAAGCCGCCCTGACGGTCCTTCTGCAAACTCCTCTCATCACAAACACAGCGTGAGTGTTCAGGTGGCACGCAGGGTGCTGGGACTCTCGAGGCCCTGTCCCTGCCCAGCACTGTCCCCGGTGCCCCGCAGCTCCCTCCCAGCCCCTCAGCTCCTCCTCGCTGCTGCCAGGGGATCCAGACCCTCCAGCCAGCACCTGAGCCCTAGACACACATGTGCTGAATGCTGTCACCAGTCACCCCTGTGCTCCCCACTCGGGTCCTCCTGCCCATGCCATTTGTCTCCTCCTCCCCCGACGATGCCCACTCGGCAGTGCCTCTGGCTGAGAGGGCTGCTGCCTGTCATCGTCCACCTGCATCCCCCACCCACGTGCCAGCAACTCGAGGGCCTCAGCCACTCTCACCGGGCTCAGGGCCCAGAACAGAACGGCTTCCGGCTCGGATGAGCTCAAAGATGCCTTGGATACAGCAGAGTGAGGAGAACCCTAGTTTGCAACCTTGCTAAAGACAATCGTTTCAATTGTGAGAATCTCAGGGGCTGGTGAGGAAGGGGATATTTACACAGTCTCAAAGTGTCTACCGACAGGAACTTCTTGACAGGGGAGAAACCTAACTGCACCTGAGAGTCCTGGCAGACGCACCTTCATCAGGTGAGCAACCCCAGAAAAGGGACAGGCAAGGATCGCAGCCCCCAGGCAGAGCTCCGTGACAGGGACACAGCCTCATTCGGTGAAAAGGCACAGCCCGAATCCAACTGTGGACCAATGACAGGCTGCAGGCAGGGCCTATACCCCGCAGGAAGACAAGGAGAGAGGCCTGTTCTCGACAGGAGGTAAATGCAATAACGAACGCAATGTATGGCCCTGGGTTGGGTTATGGACCAGAAAAAAAGAAAAAGAAAAAAAAAAAGAACATTATTGGGACAAGTGACATTTGAGTGTGGGCTGTGGAGTAGACAGTACTGTGACATCAGTGTAAAATTCCCTGATTTTGGTCACTGCGCTGTGGTCATAAAAGAGAACACCTGTGCACATTCAGTGATGAAGGGCTGCGGGGCCTGCAACTGAGTCTCGAAACGCTCAAAAATAATAATCATACGTGTGTTCAGTGAGAAAGATACAGAAGATAAAATGTTAACAGGTTGCCATTTTTGCAACTTTTCTGTAAACATCAGAAATTATTTCGAAACAAAAGTTTAAATAATTTAAAATATGCTTTGGATTGAACAAAGGAAACCTCCAAAGGCCACAGGAACCTTCGTTGTCACGAGATCCCGTTTTTTCTTTCTTTTTTTTTTTTTGGTTTGTACCCAGGTTGGGGGCTTTTATTTACAGAAAGGCCTGGGTAGATCTGGGAAGAACGTGGAGGTTGGGGGTGGCAGGGAGAGCTATGCCAGAGAGGGAAGGGGAGACGAATGTTTAAATACTCAGATGGGAGGCGGGAAGGAAGTAGTGGGGCTGGCTTAAGGATAGCTGTCAGGGTTGTCACCCATCAGCAGTCACCCAGTAAGTCCAGAGAGTGAAAATGGGATCAGGAACCAGCAGAGACCTCAGTCCGCCTGCCCCAAGGACAAGATGGCAGTGGAGAGCGGTGCAGGTTAAGGAGACATTGTGTGGTAACAGCTGAGTGATGCTCCGGGAAGGAAAGCCACCCCACTCCCTTCGGAGCTTCGACTCTCCAGCGACCCTTGCCCTGTCTGTCGGCCTCACCTCTTCACTCTAGTGCCCTACCTCCCCTTCCCCCATGTTTTAGAATTCCTTTTCCTCAGGGCTCCTGGGTTCCAGACAGATGGTCCTGGGAAAGTTGGTTTCCTGGGCTGAGGGACGAGGTGCATGTCCACCCAGAGGGGACCTGGTTCTACCCCACCCAGGATGCCGCTGCTGTTCGGGCCTCATGCTCATGGCCCTTTGATGGTCCCGGGTTCCGTAAGGCGGGCAGAGGCATAAGCTGAGGCTCCGAGGCAGGCTGCAGGCTCACAAAAGCCCGGCAGCCCCACGGGGCCTGGCAGGCCACGTCGGCCTGCCTCTCCTGGAGCCCCTGGGGACTCTCTGTCTCCATCCTTGCCATTGACTGCCTGGCCAGGCCGGCCAGGGAGACCTGGGATTCCTGGGGGCCCAGGCATCCCCGGGTGCCCACGTCCCACTTCTCCTCGATCACCCTCCTCTCCATGTTTTCCCTTGGGCCCCGTGTTGCCAATCTGACCCACAGCCCCGATGATGCCAGGAATGCCCCGAGGGCCAGGGTTCCCACAGGGTCCCTGTTTGCCTGGGTACCCAGGGGGCCCAGGAGGTCCTGGGGGGCCCATCATCCCTGCAGCACCCAAGGCTTCTCGCTTGGCACTCACAGCTACCTCTGCCAGTTGCTCGCCAGGCCCTGTCTCCCAGGCTGTCCCGGCAAGCCTTGGTCTCTGGCCAGTCCTCGAGGGCCAGGAAGCCCAGGGTAGCCCTGCACTCCTGGGGCGCCCGCATCCCTGCTGGGGCCAGGGTAGCTGGGTTCTCCGCGGACTCCTTGCTGCCAGGGAAAGGGGTGGGCCGAAATCCCGTTTTTTCCACGCCAGGGCTTCTCAGCCTCGGCACTATGGACATCTGGGTGGGACGGTTTTCTGTCGCAGTGTCCTGTCCTGCCCTGCGGCTGCTACAGCATCCAGCCCTCCTGTCACCAGGTGCCAGGAGCACCACCGACATGCGCAGACCCAGCCTGGGTCCTTGACGGTGAAGTCATCCGCGGAGGGTGGCTACGCCTGGGGTGGACAGTCCTCCCCACAGCCTGCCCAGCCCAGCGCCTGAGATCTGCCCAGGATGAGGGGACGCAATGACTGGCAGCTGGCCTGTGACCAGGGACCGTGACTGTCCACAAGTATCCCTGGGCAGACGGCGCCCAGGACAAGGCAGTGCTGGTGCGGCTGCCGCAGACGACTGTCCATCCTCCCTGTACAGAAGGTGTCTACCCGCCGAAGGCTGGCCACACTCAAGGACCTGGCTGGCCAGGTGTGCAGGGGGGCGCAGCCTGTGCCAGGTGAGAGCCTGTTTCGCTGCACCTGGAGGAACTCATTCGCACTCGACAGCACACGTGTCCCACTACGCCTCGTGGCTGTGGAGGATTTCAGTGCTGCGGCGCCTCCAGAGCAAGGACAAACCCCAGACTGTGGCCACGTCTACCCCTTCATCCTGAAGCCTAGAGGGGCGTCTACCTGAGAAGAAAACCAAATGCATCCTGATTTTGTCTTTTTCTTCTGTTCTTCCTGAGAATAACCAAATCAGATACTAACTGGCCAATGCAAATTTAGACAGATTCCAACTTCCTCAATTGTGGCTTTGATGATAATGATGATGATGATGATGATGACAATGAGGAAGGGGGAGGAGGAGGGGTGGGGGAAGAGAGGAAAAGAAAAATAGCAAACTTACGCATCAGGACTAGGAAGGACACCAGGGCCCCGTGGACCTTGGGTCAGGGAGGTGCTGGAGACACCAGCCATGGTCCCTATTGGTAACTTACGGTGCTGGCTCTAAGAGCAGCTGCAAACCTGGCGTGGATGGTTAACAAGACCACAGGGGAACACACTTACTGGAAAAGGAAACTACGTCCTAGAAAGCAGGACTTTGTTCTTGTCCCCTCTGTGGGACTGCAGAGCCACAGCACCTGCCCGGCCTAAGCATCCGTCTTTTCGACTGGTCCCCGTCTGCCCCATAGGCCTGGCTGTCGCCCCAGCTGGGACGATTGGACCCTGGCCCCACAGACGCAGGCAGCACAGGTTGCAGGGCTGCTGGGTCAGCAGAAATGGAGCTTGGGGAGGCTGGAAGTGACTCTCGGTGGGGACAGCTGGAGTGAGAGCCACGTGGAGGGCCTGAGGTATGGAGGGGCGTGGGCATGGGGACACAGAAGGGGAGAAGGAAGGGCTCTGTGTGAGGACAGGGCTCTCCTCTCTAAGACCCGATGCTGATACTGAGATGGGGACATTTGAAGGACTCAAAGGACCTAGGACTCTGCACAAGGAAACTGTGGTAACCTGGTGGCAGTGGGGTCTGGGGAAAATGCAGAAAGTTTCAAGGGGCCACCCCAAATCCAGGATCACCACAGAGAATGCTCAGGGCCCATGAGCCCTGCAGGGTAAATGGGGCAGGGGATGTGTGTGCGTGCACAAGTGTGTGAGAGTGTGCATGTGCACACATGTGTGCCTGTGCGTGCGGGGTCGCTGGTGATGTTGGGACAAGCAGCTAACTATAAAACTGGATTCTTGCCACGTACCACAATCTACCTGAAAACTATGCTGGGGTAGCTTTTTAAATTTTTAAAATTAAGCCATAAAGTTAGGGAAAAAAAATAATTTATATAATCTTAGGTAGTGGGAAATGCATTTATAAAGAAGTAAATGTAGTTAAACAAAAATTTTGTATGGCAAATATCACCACAAGGTTAAAAAATAAAAGGTCAAAAGAATCTGCAACATGCAAGACAAAACAATTGATGCTCTTAACATAAAAAAACCTTGTAAATCAATAAGAAAAAGACCAGCCTTGCAGGAGACAACAGCAGCAAGGGCTGTGAGTAGGCTGTTTGTGGAAAAAGAAAAAGAAAAGATCAATATAACATTTTAAAAGTGCCTGCACTAGATATTGAGGGACACTGTGGAATCCTAGACTGTCCTTTGAACCCAGGTTCTATCAAATAATTATTCATGATGCTGTAGGTTGCATGACTTCTTGAGCCACGATTTTCTCACCCATGAAATGGGAATGATGATTTGTCTCTGGCAGTTATGGTAAGGATCAAAACATCAGCAGAGCATCTGGACACATCTCATAATTTTAGTGATTTTCTCTATGTTCCAAAATTTCAATAATGTCATATATTATTAATACTTTTTGGAGTAAAAAATTTATGTTTTTAAAAATAACACACCCAGCTTTGTGCCCCTCGGGGATGTCTGCACCCACAGGCCTGCAGCCCACCCTACCTGGATGCCGTGGATGATGTCTTTAAACAGCGGGGAGCGCTGCGTCCAAGTGCTCACCAGCCCCACGGCCCGGTCGAAGTTCTTGACATACTCGCCGTACATCTTCAGGAATGGGGCCAGCTTCTGCAGGATGTCCCCGAGCCGGGGGTTCCTGTCCCTTTGTGGGGGAGTGAAATCATCAGAGAAATAGCCCAGGTGGGACAAAGGCTTGAGGTTAGTGGACATGAATTTTCCCGGGGGGGCGGGCAGGGTGACGGCTCGGGGCAAGGCCTGACTCCCAGCTCTGTGTGATGCTGAGCAAATTGGTCACCCTCACTGAGGCTTAGTTTCCTCCCCTATATCACATGGGTTAGAAAACAGTATGTTACTGAGGGATTAAATGAGAGGATGCCTATAATACACTTCACCAGTGCAGGATTAGAGCCAGTGCCCCAAATACAGGAGGTATTAGAAGTAGGACCACTCCAGTGATGGGCCACAGTTCTCAAAGAGGATCAGTGAAATACATTTTTACTCCCTTGCAGCGAGCAAAGTTTAGAAACCATGGCTCTGTGCATTGCTGGCAAAGTCATGGGGAAAGTAGCACTTTGCAGTACTGATAATAAAAACTAACTGCTGCTTTGGACAGGAATTTACAAATAAGTTTCGAGAAGCAGAAAAATACACTGATAGACTTTCAACCAGAAAGGAGTGGGGTCAGGATTGGACCCAGGACAGTAGGGAAGGGAGGCGTGCAGGCCACCATGAGACAGTTCCCCCAGTGCCTGCCTGGCGTTTAGTGTCACCCCCAGGTGTCCATGGACGGTACTCACCACTCCTCCGTGATCCGAGTCTGCAGCTCAGGCAGCAGGAACTGCCCGTGGAAACGGTGGATGGAGGAGATGTTGGAGAAGATGCCCGTGGTGACTTCAGGAGGAATCCCTGCTTCGGTCAGCCTGGTGCAGAAAACCTGGGGTGGAGAAGCCCACACAATGGCCACTGAAGGTCATCCACCACAGACAGTTATGATCGGGCATCAGCCACATATGTGGACACTCAGGAGGGGCTGCCACCACCTCGTGTTATCTTAATGAACTTCAGAGTCATTTTCCTCCCTTTCCGTCAAACTGCTTTGAAGAACTCATGGTCTTAACGCAAGCTTACTTATGGGTAAGGATTGTGGGTGAGGCAGGGACCGTGCCCTGAGGGGTTTATATGCATCCTTCCTCAGCCACCTTGCATGGGAAATGGAAGGTCCAGATTTCCTTCTCTGGCTTGTGAAACACAAACATAGGCAACACACTCTGTCAAAACCCTGGCTCCATTGGTGCTTTATTTCCTGTGCTCATAAGCCCTGTGTTGCCACAGGGACAGGGATGAGTAGCATCCACTGTCCCATCTATTTATGCAGAAAAGTGTCCAGAACCCATTTGTGTTCTCAGATAATGCAACTGCCAAGAAGAAATGTCCGAAAGGTTACTGGACAAATCCTTTGCCCCACGCCACAACCACTGAAAGCAAAAAAAATATTTCTAGATTAGACTTAAATTTGTCTGAGTTTTAGTATTTAAGTAATTTGTTCTCCAACTGTAATGCCCAACCAATGCTAAGAGATAGAAAGTTTGCCTCTGAAACTGCCCACTGAAACTCTGAAAATGGACAAAGGCAGGCCCCTGAGCCACGTGCGCTACCTGGTCCAGCAGGTGCAGCCGCTTCACGTAGGTCTCCTCAGTGTGCAGGAGCTCCTGGGCAATGTGGAGCAGCTTCTGGGGGTCAGAGTGCTGTGGAGAGAGGACGTGCAGCTCACCTGGGGAGCCGAGCCTTGGGAGCAGCACCTAACAGCGGCTGCCGCTGTGTGCTAGGATAACCAGGGCTATGAGGCCGCTGGGACTGGGATGTGGCACCCAGTTCTCGTGGATGCTATTTCCAGGGAGGTTTCTGGGAAAAGTGCAACAGTTTATGCCAATCCCCCAAAACCCTCTCCATCCCTGAGGTGACTCTACCCTCCTGGGGCTGTGACAGGGCAGCTGCAGCAAGCACATCAAAATATATCGCAGAGCAATGTCAGCAAGATAGTGGATTAGAAAGCTACAGAGAAACAGAAGAACACAGCCCAGTCAAAGGAACAAAATAACAATTACAAAACCAACCCCAAAGAAACACAGATCTATGAGCGGCTCGAGAAAAGTCTAAATGGCTATAATAAAGATGCTCAATGACCTAAAAGAGAACGCACACAACGAAAAAATAAAACCAGGAATTGAGGCAGGAACAAAACGAGAACATTGACAAAGAGACAGAAACTATACAAAAGGATAAAATAGACATTCTGGAGCTAAAATATACAGTAACTGAACTGAGAAATTCATAAGAGGGGTTCCATAGCAGACTCGACCAGGTAAAAGAATCAGCAAGCTTGAAGAGAGGTTATTTGAAATCATAGAGTCAGAGAAGTAAAAACAAAAAAGAATGAAGAAAAGCAAAGAAAGCCTAAGGGATTTATGAGACACCATCAAATATATAATGTGTGTGTCTCCAAAGGAGAAGAGAGAAAAAGGGGCAGGGAGTTTATTTAAAGAAATAATGAGGCCAGGCACGATGGTTCGCGTCTGTAATCCTAGCACTCTGGGAGGCTGAGGTGGGAGGATTACTTGAGCTTGAGTTCGATACTGGCCTGAGCAAGAGCGAGACCCCATTGCTACCAAAAATACAAAAATTAGCCAGGCATGGTGGGGGGTGCCTGAAGTCCCAGCTACTCAGGAGGCTGAGGCAGGAGGATTGCTGGAGCCCAGAAGTTTGAGATTGAAGTAAGCTATGATGACATACATTGCACTCCAGCTGGGGTGACAGAGCAAGACTCTGTCTCCCAAGTAAAAGAAAATAAAAGAAAAGAAATAATGGCTGAAAACCTCCAAAATCTGAAGAAAGCAATGGACATAAAAATTCAAGAAGCTCAAAGAATTCCGACAAGGATAAATCAAAAGAGAATCACACCAAGATATATTATAATCAAACTGTCTAATGTCAAAGACAAAGAAAATCTTAAAAACAGGAAGAGAAAATCAATTTGTCTCCTGCAAGGGGGCTTCCATACGTTTATCAGAGGATTTCCCAGCAGAAACTTTGCAGGCCAGAAGGGAGTGGGATGATATATTCAAAGTGCTAAAAGGAAAAAAACCAAAAAACAAAAACAAAAAACCCTGTCAACCAAGAATACTGTCTTCAGCAAAACTGTCCTTCAAAAATGAAGGAGAAATTAAGACTTTCCCAGATAAATAAAAGCTAAGAAGAGTTCATTACCACTAGACCTGCTCTAAAAAAAAAAAATGGTAAAAGGAATCCTTCAAATTGAAACAAAAGGATGGTAAATGGCAACACAAAGCCACATGATAATATAAGGTTCTCCAGTAAAAGTTAATACATAGACAAATAAAATAAACTGTACTATTGTAATTCTGGCCCATGAAATTTAAATTACAAAAACATTTAAAAACTTTATATCTATTTTAATCGGTATACCATATACAAAGGTGAATTTGTGACATCAAGAATACAGCAGGGAGGGGGAGGTGGAACTGTAAAGGAGTAGAGGTTTTATATGCGATTGCAGTTATCAGAGAATGCTATAACTTAAAGATGTTTTACATAACTGCAACAGTAAATGCAAATAAAATATCTATAGAATATACACAAAAGGAAATGCAAGCCAGGCACAGTGGCTCACGCCTGTAATCTCAGCACTTTAGGAGGCTGAGGCAGGAGGATCACTTGAGGCCAGGAGTTCGAGACCAGCCTGAGCAACATAGTGAGACCCCATCTCTACAAAATATGAAGAAAATTAGCCAGGCATGATGGCACTCACCTATAGTCCCAGCTACTTGGGAGGCTGACGCAGAAGGATCACTTGAGCCCAGGAGTTTGAGGTTGCAGTGAGCTATTATCATGCCACTGCACTCCAGCCTGAGTGACAGAGCAAGACCCTATCTCAAAAACAATAAAATTTTAAAAATAAAAAAGAAAATGAAAAGGGAGCCAAAGCATAGCACTACAAAAAATCAATGAAATACAAAGGAAGGCAGTAAGAGAGTAAAGGAAGGACAGAAAAAGCTATAAGACATACAAAAAACAATGAGCAAAATGGCCATAGTTAGTCCTCCCCTATCATTAAGTACTTTTGATGTAAATGTGTTAAACTCCCCAATCAAAAGACAGACTGGCTGAATGGAGTAAAAACAATAGCGTCCAACTCTATGCTATTCACAAGAGACTCACTTTAGTTATAAGAATATACATAAGCTGAAAGTAAAAAGATGGACAAAGATAATCCATGTAAATGGTAACCAAAAAAGAACAGAAGCTGTCCCATTTATATCAGACAAAACAGACTTTAAATCAAAAGCTGTTCTATGAAGCAAAGAAGGACATTATATAATGATACAAGGGTCAAGTCACCAAGAAGACACAATCAGCATAAATATTTATGCATCAAACCTCAGAGCTCCTAAATATGTGAAACAAATTTTGACAGAATTGAAGGGAGAAAGAGAGAGCAACAAAATAATAGTAGGAGATTTCAGAGCCCATTGTTAATAATGGATAGAACCAGACACAAGATCAATAAGGAAATAGAGGGCTTGAACAATACTATAGACAATTGGACCTAACAGAGAAATACAGAACACTCCACCCAATAACCGCAGAAGATGCATTCCTCCCAAGTACGCCTAGAACACTCTCTAGGACAGACCTCAGGTTAGGCATAAAACAATTCTTAAAAGATTCAAAAAGACAAATCATACAAAGTAACTTTTCCAGTTACAGCGGAATGAAACTAGAAATCAATAACACAATGTAAACCCACAGACATGTGCAAATTTACCGCACTTGAATAGCCAAAGGGTAAAAGAAGTCACAAGGGAAATTAGAAAATACAGTGAGACTAAATGAAATCACAACATACTTACAGGATGCAGTGAAAGAAGTGCCAGCAGGGAAGTTTATAGCTATAAATATGTACGTTGAAAAGGGAAAAAGAGCTTGAATCAACAACTGAACTCTACACGTCAAGAAACTCGAAAAAGAACATACTAAACCCAAAGCTAGAAGAAGGAAGGAAATAATAAAGATCAGAACAGAGATAAATAAAATAGAGAAAAACAATAGGAAAAAACCCCTTAGAGTTGGTTTTTTGAAAAGATCAACGAAATCAACAAAACTTCAGCTACATTAACTAGGGAAAAGAGGGCGACCACTCAAATGTCAGAAATGAAAGAGAGGACATTGCAATTGATGCCACAGGAATAAAAAGATTATGAGAGAATACTAGGAACGATTCTATGCCAACACATCGAATAACCTAGAAGAAATGGAAAAAAATTTCTAGAAACACAACCCATGAAAACTGAATCATTAAGAAATAAAAAATCTGAAAAAAATCAATAATGAGTGAGATTGGATTAGTGATCACAAACCTCCCAACAAAGGAAAGTCTGAAACCAGATGGCTTCACTGATGAATTCTGCCAAACATTAAAGAAGAATTAACACCAATCCTCTTGAAATTCTCCCAAAAAAATTGAAGAGGAGGGAACACTTCCAAGCTCATTCAATGAGGCCAGCATTAATTATCCTGATACCAAAGCCATACAGACACTACAAGAAAAACAAAAAACAAAACCAAAAAGGAAAAAAAACAAAAAACAAAACAAAACTACAGGCCAATATCCCTGATGAATATTGATGCAAAAGTCCTCAACAAATTACTAGAAAATCAAATTCAACAGCGTATTAAAAGGAGTATACACCATGACCAAGTTTGTTGCTGGAATGCAACGACGGTTCAACATACAAAAATCAGTTAATGTATTAATAATGCATCACATTAACAGAATGAAGGACAAAAACCACATGATCATCTCAATTGATGTAGAAAAAGCATTTGACAAGCTTCAACACCCTTTCATGATAAAAACACTCGACAAACTAGGAATAGAATAAAACTACCTCAACATAACAAAGGCCATATATGACAAGCCCACAGCTAACATCATATTAAATGGTGAAAGACTGAAAGCTTTCCCTTTAAGGTTAGAAACAAGACAAGGAAAAAAACCCCTAAGAGTTGGTTTTTTGAAAAGATCAACAAAATTGACAAAACTTTAGCTAAATTAACTAGGGAAAAGAAAGTGACCATTCAAATAGCTAAAATCAGAAATGAAAGAGGGGACATTACAATCGATGTCACAGGAATAATTCACCTTCCATCCAGTGTAGTACTGGAAGTTCTAGACAGCGCAATCAGGCAAGAAAAAGAAAAAACAAAGGCATCCAAATTGGAAAGGAAGAAGTAAAATTATTTTCTGTTCACAGATGACATGATTTTATATGCAGAAAACTCTAAAGATTCCATAAAAAATTGTTAGGACTAATGAACCAATTCAGCAAAGTCACAGGATACCAAAAGAACACACAAAAGTCTTTTGGGCCTGGGGATGCAGAGTTCAGATCGCGACAGCCCTGCACAGAGACTTGGGAACACGTTCGCCCTGTGCCTCGGCTTCCCCGTCTCTAGCACGGGGCTAACAGCAGCACCTTCTGGAAAGCACAGATGGGAGAGTGGGATGACAGTCTGCTGGGGGGCCTCGGCCTCCCCCCACAGCCTCCTGTGTTAATATTTTTAGCAGACTAGCACGCTCAAGCTAAAGCTTGGAGAAAGAGAAAGGAAAGGGAAGAAAGAGATGCAGTGCGACTCCCGGCGAGCCGGCAAGGGGGCCTCGCTAACTTCCGGGGTGCCGTCCCTTCCTGGCTTGGCCTCTGCGCCTGTCGCACGTGTGCCGAGCTGCCTCCAGTCTCAGTCCGCCCAGGGCTCCGCCGCTGCCGGGTGGGGACGAAGCCTTCTGCGGAGAAGGCGCGGGGAGCCCGTGTCCCGGAGGCGGCGGCTGGTCACCAGACAGAGCCACGTCTTCCCTCGCCAGGGGTCAGTATCATCTGCCCCCGCCAATCGTTTTCATGGCAGATTCTCACAGACCTCCGATAAATGATCCCTCCTCAAACCTATTTGTGGACAAACGGTCTTGTCTCGGATCTGCGTTTTCAGCTTATTGAACACTCTGGGGGTGGCTTGCTCATTCGCTCACTGGCCGATCCGGGGCTGAGTCCTGACTGCGCGCCTGCGGAGAGGCCGGGCGCTTCCCCAGCAAGGAGCCGCGGGTCAGTGGGGCAAGTGCATGAGGCAGCCAGACGGGCCAGCACCCAAGGGCGGAATCCTCCGGGCGACTTTTCCGGAAGGCTCCAGGGAGGACGGCACAGACGGAGGCCTCCAGCAAAGAAGGGGTGAGGCCGTCCGGGTGGGAGGGGGCCTGCCTGGGGCTAGGGGCGGGCCAGAGCTGGCGCCTTCAGGTGGGGCCGCAGTGCCCAGGAAACTGGAGGAGAGGGAAGGTCTTTGATGGCAGTGTGGGGGTGGGGGTGCTGCCAGGAGGGCTGTGGGCACAGAGGGGAGGGCACAATTATTGAGGACCGAGCTACAGAGCTGGGAGACGCCATGAGTTCTGAAGAGCAAAGCAGGGTGCCCAGAGGGTGCGTTCACAGGAACGGGCCTGGAGGGGAACCAGGGAGAAGGTGAGGGGTTCAGCCTGAAGTACCTTGATCCGGGCCACATAATTCAGTCCCTCTGTGCCTCAGTTTCTCTATTTGCAAAAGAGACCTGCTCCCAGGCTCCCCCATGCACAACCTTGAAAGGGCACACAAACTAGCAGTGTCCTCAACCCTCTCAATACCTCACCCCACCATGTATCAAGGATAGAAACTCAAGGAACTAAACGTTTTCGTCTAATTGAGCCTTAATTATTTTACTTAACTGTGAAAGACACCCCCTTGAAAAACATAAAGGCCGTGAGGGTGGGCGGAGACCCTGCCTAGGAGAGAGCTCCTCTCTGGGAAGGGGCCCAAACTCCCACTCGTCCAGGGGCACCGGCCCAGCCCCCCCGTCCCCCATGCGGCCTCAGCCCCAGGGCCCCACATCCTCATGTGAGAGGCAGCTTCACGTCTGACCCAGGAAACACCACGTGCCCCTGAGAGCTGGACGGTTTGGGGCCCAAGAAATGTGCTGCTGAAATATGTCCTTAATCCTTCCTTAATGCCTTTCCTTTATAATTTTTCAGCTTTCTTCTAGCTAATTCCTCATGTGCGGAGCCCAGCTTGCCAATCTGACGTGTGTGTACACCTGTGTCACTGTCCTCCCCACGTCAGGACCCCTTATTCTACCTTAGCATGGAGAGAGATGAGGCACAGGGTCCCAAGGCTCCTGGCCCAGTGCCTTGCACCGAGGACAGGCCAGTGTGTGGTGGGCAGTGTTCCACCCAGCCACCCCAAGAAAGAGAAGACTAACGCACTCCCATCAGTGACAGACGCATCAGAGTCCTCCTATTACAGACACAAAGACTTGCGCCTTCCCCAGCCAAGCCTCTGACTCCAGCCACACCCCAGGACCTGAATCACCAGGCCTAGGGGTCTGCACCGTCCCCCGCACCCGCAGACTGAGGCAGCCAGCACAGTCCTGGTTGGAGCACAACTTAAGAGCCTCGGAGGGTGTGGCCACTACTAACCAGGTCTTTTATTTTCTGTGTTCTGATGCTCTGACATCTGGGCCTTGCTGACCCTGGAGGGCCTGCCCCTCCCAGGGCTGGCCAATTCGCAGAGACAGTCAAGGACTCACTGGTGCTCACATCTTTCAAATGCAAACCAACCAACCCAGAGCTCACATGCCCCAGCTCCTCTTTGGGTCTCTCACACTCTGGGCCACTGTCCACCTGCCCTCGTCACCCCAGGGCAGGTACCGAACAACTAGGGACAGCCCTTATGCCCAGAGCCCACTGAAATGGTTCAAACTAGCCAATCCTAAGCCTGCTGGCCCTGCCACGCCTGTTCGTTCCCATGGAAACCACAATAAAGGCTTGGGTCCATGTTTTCCCCTCGCTCTCTCTGCCTCCTGACCGACCCTGGTCCTTCCCGTGTGGCCCCCCATGACATGGCATGCCCCGTCCTCTTGGGAACCATGAGTAGCAAACTATCTTTTCAACAGCAGTCATTTCCTGATCTGTTGGCCTTACTGTACCTGAGTAATAATATATAAAACCTGCATTAAAACAAGGCCCAGCCTTCCCTCCTTGAAATTGGCTCACAGTGGCCCAGGCATGGGGCTGCCCTCACCTGCCCAGCCTACCTCCTGATGCTTACCATCTCCGCCAGTAATGTCATCACCCAGGAGCCAGCAGGTTTGACGCATCAAATGATCTTAGGACCTGGTCACTTGGCGGCTTACCCATGCTGTGCCCTCAGTGCACACGAGGTTTCTCTAAGCCTGGGAAATCTACTGCATTTCCATCTCCCCCTGCCTGGATCCCAGAGCTCAGTGAAGGCTAAAGAGGATGCAAACAAACTTTCTCTCAAGGCAGACCCACCAGGCCACAGGCACCTGCTATTGTATTGGGAATGCTCTGCTCTGGCCTCCACACCATGGTGTGGGCCTCCCAGGTCCTGCCCACATCCCAAGGAGCACAGAGCACCAGGGCTGTGCCATACCCCATGAGTGACCCTGGGCAGGGACCACGCTCTCCGTGCCTCAGTTTCCCCATATGGAAAAGCCATTTTCCCCATTCATGCTGCCTCCCTCCTAGAACTTCTGCAAGGTTCACAGTGAGCACTCTGTGAAGGGGGGCTGTGGGCAGCACCACCAGTAAGACTGGCCATCATGCCTTCCTGGGGTAGGCGATGTGCCCACCACACAGACATGGAAACTGAGGCTCAGGATGGAGGTCATTTCCCAAGGTGTCAGGTGGGCCTAGCCTGGCGTGTGTGAGTCTTTCTCATGGGCTTTTCCCAGAGACCCCATCCCTGGAGCCTCCCCTTGCATGGCACAAGCCCGTGCACCTCATTCCTGAGAACAAGGTGTGGGGTGATGCCCACAGAAAATCTCAACTCCCAACCCCCAAGGACAGCCCTGCAGCCCGTGCCTGGGACAGAGAAGGGGAGGCCTACCTGGGCCAGGCTGGCATCCTTGTCAGCCCTCGGGGGAGAGTTCTCAGGGTTGGGCTCCTCACCCACGTCACTGTTGGCCTCCTCCTGGGGGGTGTCCTGTGGGACCTGGCTGTGCAGGGCTATCTCAGGGTTCAGCCCCAGCACTCCGGGGCCTGAGCCGGCCTCACCACCCTCCTCGCAGGAGAAGTTCTCCCCGGCCACGCTGGAGGATGGGCTGTCGATTCCACTGTCCCGGTTGGGGATCTTTGCGCCACTGCTCAGCTCCCCCACGGAGCCAGTGTCTGGGGAGCCATCCCCTGCTGCAGCTGGGCTACAAGGGTCCCTGCAATGGGCCCTGGGCCCGATGGGGAGCCCTCGGAGTTTCCCCAGGGAGGTGCTGTCAGGGCCAGCGTCTGGCATCCCCAGAGCAGCAGCGGGTCCTGGAAGAGTTGAGGGCGTCTCGTCTGACTCCATCCTCAAAGCCAAGCTCACCAGGCTCTGTCCGAGGTTGGACCAGGGCTCCCTGTGGGGCAGAAACGAGCCTCGCTCAATGCCAGCCAGGCACGGACCAGCCCCCCAAGCTGCAGCCCCCCAAATGCAGCCCCCAGGCAGCACCCCCCAGGAGAAAATCAGCCCAGAGGAGGCAGCTGGGGGCTGCATGTGGAATGTGAGCACCCTGTTCAGCTTCAGTTGGGTCCTGTCCAGACAGGCTTTTGGGGAATGGCAAATGGCAAATGTTTTATTTTAAAATTAAGTTTCTTCTATATGGAAAAAAGTAATCCTGTAGCATGAAGCTATCTACTATTCAAAAAATTCAAAATACATGCACAAAATAGCGACAATAACCAACAGGAGCACCGCAGCTGTTTACAGAGCACTTTCATATCCGCAGTGCTGCTGCACCCTAGGACGCTTCCAGGAGATGAGGCCAGTGTCCCTATCGCCACCGCCTCCTCCTCCATCATACTGCCTGTTGGACAAGTGAGAAGACAACCTCCAGAGGCCCCGGCCCTAGCTGTGCCGTCGTCTCCCCAGGCCAGACCTGCCACACAAGAGGCAGGTCTCGCCCAAGGACGCCCACCAAGATCTTTGTCCTGGAACTCCTCGTCCCTTCCGAGCACTGGGGCCACCTCACATTTGCCCACATGCCTCTGCTGGAACCCTCAAGGGGAGGGCAAATCCAAGTGCCAATTCTAAGTGCACAGGGATTCACTGGGCTCCTCTAAAGAGGACCCGAGGGAGACTGGACCGGAGGGAGGGCGACACTCCCTGAGATCGTTCTCTTGAACCCAAGATGCAGCCGCAGAGGAGTGGGGGCCTCTAGCGGCAGTCACCCACCCCCTACCTGACGCTGTCCGTCTGGCGAGGGTGCTGAGGGTGGCGGGCGGGCGCCTGGCTCTCTTCAGGGGGCTGGGGTTGGCCCGCAGAGGCCCACACAGGGCTGGAGCGATTCCTTGGAAATCTTTCTTGCCTGGCAGGTTTGAAGAGGAGCTGAGAAAAACGTTAGAGAAGAATGAAAACCACTTTCTCCAATTGGCCTTTGGAGCAGCCGGAGGCACCGATTCTAAAGGGAGGGGCTGGAGGAGGACAGCTCCATGCCACTGCCCAGCCCAGAGGACCCAGGCATTTGCACAGCCATGTCCTTGGCCACCAGGCGACACACACAGCCCTGAGCAGGGCAGGGCCAGCCCCAGTGGCCACACACTGGAATGGGCAGCATTTCAGCTCAGCGTGAAAGTCAGTCTGGGGCCAGGACTGAGCTTGCTCCTGGCCACGCAGTGCCCGGTGGCCAAGGGGAAGGGTCACCTGAACGCGTAGGCACCGTCCAGCGTGACGCGAGCCTACAGGCAGCACCACATGCCTCCCCAGCCCACACCCCAGACCCTCACCTGGTCACATGCACATGGTAGCTCCCTTGCACACTCACACTGACACGCCGACTCACTCACACTCAGATATTCTTCTGCTAGCAGCTTCCACACTTGCTGCCTTCCTCACTTGCTAGGCAGAGTAAAGAACCATCAGTGAAGAAACAGGCTTCACGCACTCACACGCGCACAGTGAAGAAGCTGTCCCAGAGCCTGCGCCTTGCTCCCTGGGCAGGCAGATGTGCCTCCGGGCAGAGCGAGGCTCAGGCTCAGGCTCCGGCTCCAGCGGAGTCCCCCGTGGCTGTGGAAGCCGGCAGGCTCCATGGGGGAGCCCCCGCCACCAGGTGCAAGCTCCTGGGCGTTGATGGGTGGCAAAACCCCTTTTGAGAGGACCTTTAAGTGACTCCAAAATCACTGAGGTGGGTATTTATTATTGGCTACTGACACATTCTTAATGCGTTTAACGGGGAGCTATCTTAAGATTTCTGAACAGAAAATACATGTTTTGCTGCATTCTTCTCATAGCATGAGAGATAAACTCAAGTTTCCAGAAGTCAGACATGACACAGCAAAAAGAATACACCAGGTGGAATGTGAGCTGTGCTCAGCCTTGCTGTGTTCACAGGCAGCTGCCTGGCAGCCCCACTTTCGGGTAACTGTGCTTCTGGTCAGGATGAAGTAACAGAAACCAGATTGGCTCTCACCTGAAACAACAGAAAAACGGACAACACATACAAAATAATAGTCTGCAAGACACTACACCAGGCAGCAAAGCACCATGATCCCTGAGAGACGGGACAAATGAGGTGAGCCCTCCTGCTGCCCCAGCTCACTGCCTGGAGACCATTTCTGGCCCATGGATCAGGGAAGGGGAGCCCAGTGGACCTTCTGAGTTGGGAAGACAGAACTGGGGGTCCCAGGAAACCAAGGTGGTCAGAGTTCACAGGATGCAGCCCTGGAGAACAGAGAGCTGCACACAGAGAGACAACCCTGAGATCTGCAGGGGGGTCCCTTAAGAACTATTCAGCACATGTGTGGGAGCAAACTGCTCGATGCTGGAGAAAGAACCACCTGAATGGACCAGAGGGAGCTCACACGGGAAAGGGATATGCCTGTTCCCACCAGCCAGCCTGCAAAGCCCCAAGGTCCACGGGACATTAGGTTGAGGACTCAGCAGGGTCTTGCCTCAGTAGTGATGGATAATTAGCCCCATACTGACCATCTCTCTGGTCCCACCTAACAAATACTAACAAATCTTAACAGGAAGGCCACATTATTTACAAAACTGCATCCCTGAACAAAGCTCAAAAATACTTATAGGAATATCAAAACATCCAGCACCCAGCAAGGGAAAATTCACAATGTCTGGCACCCAATCAAAAATCACCAGGCATACAGAGGGACTACACAACTCATAATAAGGAGAAAAAACTCAGTCGACTGACACTGACCCATAACCGATGCAGACGTTGCAGAAAGGGTCATTCAATGGCTATTATGCCTGCATTCTGTGAGGTTCAAAAGTTAAGTAGAGATGTAGAAAACATAAAAAGACCCACGTCAAACTTCCACAGATGGAAACCATGAAGTGTGAGATCAAAGACACACTGAAAAGAATTAATAGCAGATTAGAAATTTAGAAGAAAAAATAATGAATTTGAAGAGACAGCAAGAGAAACTATCCAAAATGAAATGGTGGGGAGGAGAACAGAGCATTAGTGAAATGTGGGAGAACTTCAGCAGCAAAACATATGTGTAATTGGAGTCCCAAAAAGGAGTGGGCAGGAAAAATATTTGAGGAGAAAATGGCCAAAATTTCCAGATTGTTTTTCCAGATTTGATATAAACTACAAATCCACATATCTAAGAATTTCAATGAACACCAAGCACAAGAAATATTTGTAGTTAAAATTTTTATACATGGAAAACTCCAGGCTTAGAGATCTTCACTGGCGAATTCTATCAAATATTTAGGAAGAAGTGGTACTAATTCTACACAAACCTTTCCAGAACATTACTAAAAAGGGACTATAACATCAGTGACTCTAGTAATAATTATGCCAAGTAAAAGGAACCAGACAAAGAAGAAGACCCATTGTGTTTTTCCATTTGTATGAAACTCTAGGAAATGCAAACTAGTCTGTGGTGACAGGACACAGATCAGTGGGTGCCCAGTGGGTGCCCAGAAGGTGTGGGTGGGGGAGGGGTGATGAAAGGGGCAGCCTTGCAAAAATAACAGGAAAGTACCGAATCCCACAATTTCCCCAGTAAGAGTTAAAGATCAATCCTGTGAGTTCTCTCACTAACAGGTACTCTGCAGGCGTTTTGTTTTGCACAACTTCTGGAAAGAGCTGAATGAACAGAAAAGAGATGTAAATCTCTCTTGTTCTAAATCGTTTTTTTTTTGAGAATCTGCTTTTACAGAGTTCTGAGCAAACAGCAGAAGAACGAGCTACAGCCTCAACCGTATCTCCAGGACACAGTCGCATCTCCTGTGATGATCCCTTCTCCAAGGAAGGCAGGAAACCAAGTCTTGGACTGTGACATCCTTGTAGTTTCCGTTATCTACCCGCTGCTGCTTTTGTTATCAACTGACAGCATCAGAGTTTTTTTCTTCTCTTCGTCCCCCTTAAAATCAGCGAGCCACTTGGCCTCGCTGCTGGCATCTCCCTTCTCTTTCTTTGGGATGCCACACGTCTCCCTGCTCTCTTGCCCCCCTTCCCTTCTCTCTCTCTCCCTCCCTCTCCTCTAAGAAGGGTAAAAGAAACTTTTTTTACTATCATATATCTTAATCTCTGGGTGAGGAGTCTTTCCCAACCGCTCAGCGAGCACCTACTAAGTTTTCCACCCTAACAGGTACAAAGGGGCATAAGGAGCTTCTGGGGGATGATGTGCGTGCTCATTACCTTGGCTGTTTCCCGGGCACACACATGTGTCAAGGCTTACAAACTGCACACAGTTAACTGTACGTCAGTTTCACCTCACAGGGCTTAGGAAAAATCCCACCCTCATTGCCTCTGAGTAGCCGGAACTTGGTGAGTCACAAACATTCCCCAGCGTCATTTTCCTCAATCCAGAAGGGAGGGTGGGTCATAGGCGGGAGGCCATGGGGCGTGTGGCTGCCACCAGCCTGGGGCGGCCGCCTGGACATCCCCGTCCAGAGAAGAGGGGTGTGCTGTGCTCCCGGGAGGCCCTGAATCACCACTGGCTGGCTACGGAAGGGCTTCTGTGGGATGCTCACTTCCAGCTTTGCACCTGCTGGTTTGCTTTTCAAATACCTGTGCTGCTGATTGGATTGTGTCTGTGCTGGTCCTCCCCCAACTACACACTGGAGTCCTAACTCCCAGGACCTCAGAATGGGACGTTATTTGGAGACAGGATCTTTACAGAGGTAATCAAATTAAAGTGAAGTCTTTAGGGGGTTCTGGGGAGGGGAGCGGGAGGGCGGAAAGGGGGCTGCGGGGCTTGGTTGAGGACCCTGTCATTGTCACTTCACTCCCTTCTGTTCTGTTGCAAAGACTTCTTACAAAGAGTATGTGTAGCTCTAAAATAAAAGAAGTAATGAAAAAATAAAATGATATGGGGCAGAGACCCCTCTTAGGGTGTGGGGGTCGGGGGACAGCTTGGAAATGAAGGAAAATCTTGAGTCCTTCTTGAGTCCCTTCAGAGGATGTTCTGGGCACTTTGAGAAGCGAAGGGCAACCTGATGAGGACAGGCCCTCCAGGGACGCCAGAGCCACAAGGCGTGTGGTTCCCTGTGGAAACTGAGAGCTTAACAGTCCTTGAGTCCTTTTTCAGGAACCCCCAGCAGAAGGAAAATGCAGATAAGGGGGACTGAGGAGCTGAACTCTGACAGCCTTTCTTTGTTCTCAATGTCCCCCTGAGGGGCCTGTCAGGACCAACCACCTTAGCATTCCTGTCCACTAATCTGAGCATCTCTGACTCCATCGTGCCCCTGCAGGATGTCAGGCCAATGTATAACCTCCACTATTGGTCTACGATTTTCCTGCCTGAAATGTACTCTGCCTTTCAACACCCTGTTTATAAGCCATCAGCGGGTCCAGGTGCAAGTGTTAGCTGCTGTACTCCCCGCTCGGCCCTGCGATAAAGCGTCTTTCTCCCACTGCAGCTCTCGGCGTCAGTGTCTGGCTTCACTGCGCCAGGTAAGCACACCCGGGTTTGGTTCAGTAACAAAACAGAGCAAGATGGATAGACGGGCAGGTGGAGGATGAGCAGGTACCTGGGCGGAGCCCTGGCCCAGCCAAAGGTTTCACCTGAAGCAGCCTCCCTGGGCCAGCAAGGCCATTACCTGGAGTTCAAGGCACATGTGCACACGCATATACAAGTGCACATGACCACATACATACACATGTGTGCACACACATGCATACACATGTACACATATGCACACACCTCCCCACACCCCCATGTGCAGGGTCAGTGCTGAGCACTTTCTCACACTCTCTTACTCGCACTCACCCAAGGTGGGAGACATTTCTACCCTCCACACAGGGATGCTAAGGCTCAGAGAGGCTGACCCTAGCCACGCTGGAACCCCCTGGACTTGGGTTACTCTGATATACCCAGGGCTGCATACATGTCACCACACGGGTGCTCAGGGAG